ACCCTACACACATCTAGCAAGTGACTAGTGAGCGATAATTTTATTTTTATTTCATGTTTTTTTTCCTTTAATTTGCGCCCAAGTATTTACTCTTTCTCAATTTATATATATATATTCATTCCGAAAGGCGAAAGATGCCAAGGCTATTGAGTCTTAAAGTCACAATTCATTTATATTTTATTTTTTTAATGTACAACTTTTTTTTTATTTCTCTCTAGCGCTTGTTTCTGTCTTGTTCTTTTACATTTTGACTGACTGATCACCTTAAAAGTGACAAAAACTTTTGTTTCATTTTTGAGTCATGTCAAATTTATTTTTTTATAGAGTTTGGCAATTGAGAAAAAGACGAATATTGCAATCTTTATGCATGATGGACTCTTGTTGATTGTCTTAATCGTGATGAAGATTTTATAATGATGATATTGAGGTGTAAAAAAAATCTTCATGTATGCCCGTATGTTTATTATTTTTTTCATGCACTAATAAATTTTGAGAGAATCTTAACAGATCATCATGTAGCTTTAATTTATAGACATGGACTGAGCAGCATCGATTGTTTTTTTTGAGGAGGGTTGGAATGTTTCTAAAGAGAATGATGTTGGGTTTAAGGGTGATTTGGACTTCTCAATATAGCTTCTTAATTTTACTTCTTACAGCGCTTAGTAGCTACACGACCCTAAGTGGCAAACTAAGTTTTACAATTAAATAATCTTTTAAACTACAAATGCACAAAATGCGCTCAAAACACACCCAAAAAATGTCCACAACTTCCATCAACGTCTCTCTCACATTTCGATCATTCTACACCGAGACTAGTTTCGACCAATGGATTGAAATATTTATTATTATTTTTAGTTTAATGAAATGCTAGCATAAAAATCGGCGTGTAATGCGGCACATAATAATTTTAGCGCATTTCTTGCTATATATTAATTATTCAATTAATCAACCTTAATTTGGGATGAAAAATTTGCTTCATTGACTCCCAGACGCTTATGATTCATTACAGCACTAAAGGCTTTCTCTTCTTTTGGACATAAAATATGGGAAAATTTATGAAAAATTACGATTATGTTTATAAAAGGAAATTTATGTTGCATGCTTCTGCTCAATAATAAATTACAATCCAAATAAATCGTTATGAAATCTAGTACATGCTAAGTATGGTCAATGTACAAAATAGAAGAGATCACGTAGAATTCATTGTTCATCTCGCAATACATCCCACTAGTCAAAAACGATGTCTGATGTAACGCAATTGATCTCAATACAGAATGCGCTATTAATATTATTGATTGTTATTGCAAATAAATTCTTTGTTGTATTGAGCACTGCTGCTGCTGCTAGTTCATAGCAATTCAACATTTTTTTTTGTTTATTTTTATTCTGCTTCTTTTTTTGTTGTAGATTTTTTTATGTGCCAATTGTTGTACCTGTTCACCTGACGCGCGCGCGATATTTTTTTCCTCTCCTACGAACTTCCACAGAAAATAAAGTTTTTTCATGCTTCTCTTTTTTTTCTCGTACTAAGTTTAAATATCTATCTGAATAGCAATGCTTGCGAATAAAAACAATAAGGCCTTAATGTTTCATAACACTGCCGTTACTGATGCCGCCACAACAAGCTGTGTAGATTAATTTTCATTTATTGTTCTAAGATTAATTATGAAAGTTTAAGTTTGTTCATTCGGAGTCTAGGGCGCATATTTTATTGGATTAATTTTCTATAGGATCTAAGCTTTATATGGGTGGATCCGTCAATAAAAAAACATAATTATTATAGCCAAATTGGTTAGCAAATGATTATGAGTATGGCACGCTTTTTTCTGGCAGACATGAGTTCGAAACCTATCAAAATTCAGTCTCTCAAACATGACAAGACGTCCACAATCCATAGCAATTTGCAATTCTACTGAGTGCTTGGTTCCTGGCATCATTAGTCTTACTTAATGGTTAGACATCCTTCGACTGTATAGATCAATCTATTTAGAATTCTTTGCTTGCGTGTTTGACTTAATATTATCAAAATCTAATTCTATAATCTTCAAAACTAGCTTTTTCATAGCAAATCTAACTCATCCAGACACAATAGCAACTATTCAGCACATTCCGCAAACCTAAAACAGTGCTGGAAATACCTAATTTTTTTTTTAATCGTGTGCTTTGCTGCTGTTGCTGCTATAATTGAACGATTCGCTTGTCTAATTCTTGTGTCCTTTAAAAATTCTTATGTTTCGTTATTTTCACATGTCTGCTTGTGCTTTTTTTTGCTGCCTTTGCCTTCTCGTACATTTGTCGATTTAATTACAAATATGATTAATGAATCTTTTGAGCCGTTTCCAAAAGATTTTCATGTTATTTTACGCGCAAAAAAAAATCTTGAAGGTTCTCGAAGTCATTTATTTCTGCAATAAGCAATAAGAATAACGACAAATAACAACAGAACTTGGCGAGATGAAAAGAAGAATTTGAAAATTACTAAATCTCATGTTGATGTCTGATTCCTTTCGTTCCATCTCTATCTCACAAGTCATACATTGAATAATATTTCATTATTTCGATTATAAAATTCTTATTTATGCACATATAAATGGTATTATGGTAGTAATTTTGTGCCTGTAGGAAGATAAATTCTCCGCGTGTCCGCTGACAGAAAGCCAATCATTAAAGTTTTCATGCAAACATTAATTTATTATGTAATTTGCTATCTGATGTATTTTTTTTTCGAGTGTAGAAATCTTTTATTTTTTGAGCATGGCAAGAAGTGGCTTGCAAAAAAAAGAACAACAAAATTGGAATGAACATGAAAAAAGATTCTTGAGATTTGATATTCGCTCATTTTATTATTACTCTTTTTAGCTTGATTTTCAGGGGTTAGATGAAGTTATTGTTCTCATTTTTGGATGTTTGTCTGATTGGTTATTTATGTTTGGTGTCTGGCAATGCTTCTTCTAATTTAAAGGATCTGAATTTTTGAATTTTTTGATGTTATAATGATGCTATAGTGAAATTGACATAGGAACTTGATTTTATTGACTAATCCAGAGCTCCCGTTCTAGTTTATTTACTTTATTGAGGGCCTTTCATCCTGTTAATCCTAGTTCGTTCTGAAATCTAGTCAGAGACACTAATTTCTTTACTCTGCCTCAGATAAACTTGTCTTATTGATCATATCCTACCTAATTAATCCATGTCTAAGTCAACACTTGATCAGACTCACTTCAAAGTTCGTGCAATTAATCCAACATTCCAGACATCTCCTTACAAATCTGCAGCAATTATAAAAATGCGCTAAAGTCATTCCATGCATCCAAAGAACTTCGCAATCACTCATTTTTTTTCGTCTATTGGAATTATACAACATGCTTATACATTCGCATGTCTATGACAAGCGGGTCACAGAAGGGCATATTAATTATAAAGCGCGATCGTTTTCAAACATGTGAGGCAGGAACGAATAACAAAAAAAAAAAGAGTTAATACGAACGAGACGTTTGTTTGGTGGAACTTAATACTTATAACGTGTATGATTCTCTTTCTTTTCTTTACCTAAACAACAATCTAGTCGACGTTTTATTTGAATTATTGACAATGATCCTACATCATTTATGCTTTTGAGCACGTTGAATATCTTCTACATTAATTATATTAAATTATTTGGCATTTTAGATGTTAAGTATTGAGAAGTTTATAAATCAGAAGGATGGTTCGCTGAACTGTGGGAAAATTGGATGGAGGTTGTTGCTGTTTGTTATGTAATTTTGATTGGGATTCTTGAGGCTGTGCAGAAAATTTGTTTAAACAAATTTCAATTTTATGGCTGCAAATAAGCTCTCAAGATTCCTTTGTTATTTTGAGCCTCATAAGTCACTTAATATTCCCTTAATAACATAAGAAATTTCCATTGTGTTCCTAAGCATTCCAACCAAAAAAAATTATAATCTTGATAAATCACAAACTTTTGAATGTACTTTTAAGCCTCACAAATATTCAATCATACGGAATCTCTAATCCACAACTTAATGATTAACAGTGAATAACGAATAAAAAAAAAAACAATGTAACGAAGAGGAAATTTGATGAGAAAAATTCAATTGAAATCTCATTAACTTCCACTTCTGATGATTACATAAGCACACGTATTTCCCGTGAAATTTCAAACATGAAACTCACAAAAATGAGCAAAAAAGAACCAAAAAAAAAGCACTTAAATGGATATTTAAAAATATCCGGAATATTCAATGATAAAAAAATGAAGCACTTCAAAAAAATTACCACACACCAATGCATCGGCTGAATTGAATGACTGACCAAAGAAAATTGTAATTTGATGGACACATCTAATTTTAAAATAAGAATCTAATTCTGCATGAGATAAATCTTATGTAAAATCGGACGTATGTTTTTTTGATGGAATTGAGAACTGACAAAGTCGGCTCGGATTTTTTTTCGGTGTAATTTTTCATGCATTTTCAGTGTTCCACAACGAATTGCTGCTCGAAAAGAGTCAAACAGTTTTATAATGAAGCATTATTTTCTGCTGTTTGCTTTTTTTATCGCGATTTATAAGAACGGTTGTGGTTGTGGATATATATGGCTGACTGGCTTCATTTTGTTGGATAATTAAATCAAAAATATCAAAAAATCCGTTGCAAAATAATTTGAATTTTGTTTAAAATTTTTTTGTTGAAAAAGCAATTTCAAATTTTGGTTGACTGTTAAAACTTTTTGAATGCCATAAAATGCGTCTTGCCAATAAATTTGGTTCTTTGTCTTTATTATTGTTTTACTACTGTTACTCTATGTACTCGACTCTGTTCACCTTCCCTCGTGGCAAAAGGCAGACCGAATCTTAATTTACTTAATAAGAAGCCGTATAAAAATTGTATTTTTGTATGATGGAAGAACAACGAATGAAACGGAAAAAAATTGCGTCTTTTTATACTGAAACCAATCGATAGTCACGTTTTTAAAATATTTTTATATTGTTATTCTTCCAGATTCTCCTTCACTATTCTATGAGGACGTAATCAGGGATGAAAAACTCAAAGATATTGCAAATAAGATTACAAATATTACGTCATCATCAACAGCTCAGGAAATTGATAGAAAGAATCGATGGACAATGAGTGACACGCAGATAATTATTGATGAGACTCCGACGCGTGACGATGTAAATAAGCAGAAACGTCCACAAAGTTTATCGATCATATCGACAGCACCATCAATTATCTCTGTCGTAAAAAAGAAATCAGCACCCCCCGAAATAATCAATTATCAGAAAACGTCGCATTCGCATGAGCGAGGTGATCCTGACGGTGATTGTGGCATGGAAGATTCACCGACAAATTATTGCAATAAAGCCACGGAACTGCGAGTCAAATTGCCGTCAGAAGAAATTTTACATAGTAAAAGTGGATGGCTGTGGATGGAAGATCATCAATGTGAATGGTGTAAATATTGGTTCTCATTAAAGGGCGGTGGCTTGTTTTATTATCGTGATCCGAGTGCTGAAGAGCGTGGCGTACTTGACGGCATTCTAGATGTCAACAGTATTACCAGCATCAAAGAAATTACAACCAGTCGATCTCATTCTTTTCAATTAACGGTAATGGCCATACTTACTCACAAACTTTACTTTTTTTCCCATCTTCAATTCTTTAGCCACTTTTATTAATTCTGCACATATTATACATGATGGAGTAATTTTTTTTAATAGCCACAAAACCTCTTAATATCAGCTTCTTATTTTTTATTTCATTTTCCGAAAAAAAATCCATTGCTTCTTTTCATTCCTTTAAGTGCAGAAGTTTTCAAGACATTTGTAGCGCATTGCGTGTGCCTTTTTCTGTCTTCGCAATGGCATTGCCTTTGATTTTTCAAGGATCGTGACTTTCTCTATGCAAAATTATTATTTTTTTGAGAGCTGCTAATGGAAGCTGAATATAAAAATTTCGATTTTTTTTCTTCTTCTGAGAAAAAAAAATTAAACGATGGCATTTAGGAATGAATAAATTTTAATTTTTTTGACAAATTTTTCGGAATGAGATTTTGTAATTTTATGAGACATTGTTAAGATTCAGGGCTGCAATTTTTATTTTCAATGATCAATGACAGTGTTGTTTTATTGGTTCTGAGATATTGCGTGCGGAAGACAACACAACTAGGTTCAGGTTTTTATAGTTTTATGCCTAGAAACATTAATCTTTGTAGATGTGTCTTAACTGCATCAGGAATTCTGTGTTTTGATTATATCTTGTCAAAGAATCAAATTTGTAAACGCTACTCAAAAGATAAAGCTTCAATCAATTCCTTAAAAACACTTCTGGCCGACAATATACACAAAAAAAAATCACACTTCTGACCCAACATTTTGCATGTCTTATTTTAAACTTCGACAAAAAAAATACACAAGATTTTGCCTGATTACAAGCAAATTTAAAAGAACATAAGCTAATAACAACTAATAAGGCAAGATTTATCTTCATTTAACAAGGATTTGTTAGAACAATGCAGACAGAAACATTCGCTTCTGCTTAATTTTATCCCATGTCAATACAACAAGTGCTATAAAACATCTTCGATGCGATTTGAAACTTGAGAATTTTCGATCCTTTTGTCAAAATTTAAAATAAAAATCGATCCATAAGATAATAATATGCAGCCCAAAAAGCAGAACAAGTTATCCTCTAGAAATCAGAATAACGTCACGAAAAGAACTTGTTATTAAGCCTTATGATGTCTCAAATTCATGATACATGCAGGAATAAGAAGAAGACAATCTGACAAAGTATGGACAATAACTTGATTTTCCAAGAAATTATTCACTAAAATGCTCTCGTATAAAATTATCTGAAAAGAATGAACTTATGTCTTCTTAAGTTCTCTTATGTCATCTTCGAATTACAGACGAAAATCATCTCCAATGACTCAATTGAATTATTTTGTAACTATTAATTCTCTTAAAGCTAATTTTTTTTATTTCTTATTTCACAACAGACATGGGACAACAAGCGATTAAACCTTTCATCAGTTACATCAAATGTTAAAAACAATTGGATCAATGCTCTACGAAATGCTTCCGGTCTCGTCGATAATGCTATTAACCAAACGTTAGATGAAACGAATAATAATAATAATAAAAATAATATAACTAAATCCAATAACGAAATATCAACAACGACAGGAACAACGGTTGTTTCGGCTGTTAATAATCGAAATCTAAAGAAATTAGAGATGCCGTCTTATCAAGATGAGAATGGCATAAGCCTTGAGAAGAAGGCAAAACATTCATTATCATTATCATCACCATTAACCCCATGTACCTCAGGATCATCACGTCCTATTCTATTCTCCTCAGACGAGGAATACAAGACGGCATCCGAAGGTGGTAGACGTGAAAGCATTGACTGGGGCTCACCTCTATCACCATCGAATCCTATTCAAATAACAATTCAATCCCATGCCAAAGAAAGCAAAATTCGTTCCAACTTACGAAATAATCTTCATAAACGTAGTCTCTCATCACCACCAACATCACGACGAAGTACAATTGACAGTAACGATGATTTTGTTGCCATTTCAACAGTACGAGAAGAGGAGCGTACGGCAAATATTGAAAATGAATTTAATGTGAGATTGATGGCTTCGGAAAAAAAGCTTTCGATGATGCACGATGAGGCGCGTGAACGTGATATTAGAATGGCTAAGCTACTTGAGACGCTCGAGAAAACCGAGATGGAATTGGCAGCAAGACGAAAGGAAAATGAAGAGATGAAGGAAAAATTACTTAAAGAGCTGATGGAAAATCGTGAAAGTGCTAAGAAAATTATTAATAAATTGACAGATGAGCTGGTCGAGAGTCAGAATAAGATGAGTGAAATTGAGAATCAATTACAGCGTGGAATTGAAGAGAATGATTCATTATATCAAAAAATAAGAAGTCTAGAATCATCGGTTGTGCCATCATCGTCGTCAACAACTAGTCTTATAAATGCCAATAAATCATCAGGCGATCGAATCCGTCGTATGGATTCATTTAGTGATCTCACGTGCTTAAATAATGTCGATCCCGACGAGTTAGATAAAGAGTCATTAGTAAGTGAATATCAAGAGTTAAAACAGCGATTTGAAAAGGTTGTTAATGAATTGAAAATGATGAAGCGTGAACTTCGCGAATCATATAATTCATATGACAATCTTGACTTGGCACACACGAGTCTAAGACAAGATTTAGAGAGGAAGCACAATGAATTTCAAATGAGAAATAGGATGATGGCTGACAGAATTCAAGATTTAACAAATAAATATTCAGCAGCTGAGAAGCAAGTTAGAATATTAAAGCAGAAACTTATGAAATCCGAGAGAAAAAGAACGTCATCGCTTAAGGGTAAAGAGACATTGCAAGTACAGAAAGAGTTGGAGGACAAAGTAATGGAATTAGAGGGACGTTTCGAAATTAATCATGATGTTGAAATGCCATCACCTAATTGTAGTTTACGTGCATCGCCAGCACGATGTGAAACACCTGAGAAGCAAAGATCGACAAAGCTAAGACGAAAATCTCTCGATTCTGTGTCAAGTCAACCGATGCAATTATTAGTACGATTAAATGCACTCGAGAAACGTTTTGAAAATAATAGTAATTTAAGCTTATCAGCTCAATCCTCAAGTTCCGCTGATTCGAGTCATCATCATCACAACAACAACCATAAATATGATCATAATTCACATAATAAGACGATCGATGAGATGAGAGAAAATTTAAGAAATTTAGAAAATGTTGTGGCCTCAAGTCGAAACATAATGGACGAAAGTCTTCAACTGATACACCATTATAATAAATCATTAAGATCACGATGCTCTGAGACATTAAAAGTTGAACAGCTGCTCGTGGAATCTGTCAAAATATTAAATGAATGTCAACATAGAGATCATTCAATGTCTCTAATAGAGACGACATCAACAGGTGACGAAATCATTCAAGAAACAGGTTCCGTTAAGCTTGCATTGCTTCAACTTGAGTCCCAACTCAAGGCCAAATTGAGTGAATTATTAAAGCAAAGGCGAATTTTGAGAGAGACTAATAAACTTTCACATAAAAAAGATTTGGAATTACTTGCCGAGAGGTTAGCATTTGAAAGTGTTTGCTTTGGAAAATTAAGAGATTCATTAAGTCGTGCCGATCAACTTGATAAATTTGTTGAGCATCAAACAAAATGTGAAATTGTTGAGACAACACAACTGATGGCGCTACTTAAGGCAAAATTGTGCGGTAAAACATCATCGATCAAAAACACTGGAAGTCTTGATGTACTTGCACAAGTTCTAGCACGTCGGCTTCTATTAACAGCCTCAAAACTCGGTCAAATGAATGAACTTATAACATCAACATCATTCACATCGACTTCATCGGCTGCTGACTTAAATTTCGTGGAAGATCTTTTGCGACAACAAAATGAATTGCATCTAATAACGAAGCGTTACAAAATCAACACGATCGAAAACCTTGCGTACGATTTAGCGGCTGAAACATTAAACTATATTTCAGCAAATAATGCAATTCAAGGTGCAGTACAAGAAGCATGGCGTTATGCGCAAGAAACTGTAAATTCGGAATTAATACAATATGAAATAAGCCATATCATGCAGAAAACAGCGAAGCGTTATGAAAATTCATTAACATCGTCATTTGGATATACATTAACATCGCAAGAGCGAATAAGTTTCGAAGTTTTTGCCGATGCCGTGCAAGATTCGTTGCGTAAAGAAATGGAATCGACAATCAGTCAATTAACTCAGTGCTACGAAGAGAATTTGACAAAAATGAAGCAAGGTCAATGGAGGCTACATTTAGAGCAAGAACATAAGGCAAGCGAAGGACGTCAATTGTTAATTGAGTTTGCTGATATAATTGCTCAAAAGGCATTAATTGATGCGAGAATTTCAATCATACGTGGCGATACAGTTAATGCGAATTTACTTGTCGAACCTGACATATCAAATGAGAAAGAGAAGAAAAGTCTGTACAGTCTCTCAACGATGCAAAAATATGAAAATTTATTCGTTGAATTATCAGAAGATATGGACATCAGCAATACTGATGACATTTTAGCAGAAGCCGATTTTAATTTCATGTTTAAAAACTTTGCATTTGCATGTTCTGTCAATAAGCAGGAAATGAATGATTTATCGAATGTCATTATTAAGCTTGAGGAAGTCCTCTTACAAGTCAACAATAAGATGAATCCAAATCTTAACATTAATCATATTCAAAATCTTAATTTGGATAACATCAAGAATATATCGACGAAACTTAATGAATTTTATCAGACTGCGGAAAAAATCTCATTTGCTGTAGATAAAATTTCAACATCGCCGTGTCAAGATTGTGATAAAATCCACGAGACATTACTTGAGCTAACAAATCAGCATGATGAGGAGATTGATAATATGAAGCGTAAACACTCCGAAATGTTACTTACACTCAATGAGCAAATTGATGAGCAAGCGACATTGGTGAAGCAATTGAGATATGAGCTATCGCACATGGAGAACATGTGTCTAGAGAAAACAACGCATGGCAATGAGCTTATGCAACAATTAAATGACCGAGAGGAGAAGATTGATGAGCTGACACAAAGGCTGTATGACGATAAAGAAAAAATAAATGAAATGGAGAGAAATTATGAGCATCTGTACGAGCAGTTTACTCGTGAACAGGAAATTAACAAGAAATTTGAGAATAAAATTGACTTAATGGAGCTTGAGAATTCAGATAAGATACAACAATTGCAGCAATATTATCAAGAACAATTAAAGTCTGAGGAACAGTCTGAGAGAGATAGGTCGGGCGATGAGGAAGATTTGCATCAAAAGTATCAGGCTGAAATAGAGCAATTAAGAGTGAGTTATGACTTTGTTTTTAAATTACAGTTGGGACAAGAGAATTCTTTCTTTTTATTTGAAGTCAAGTGTGCAAATATATTTTTCGGGAAATATTTAAGATAAAGTCGAGGAAGATTGATGTTGCTAATTTTAATTCAAGTGCTTTTCATTATGACACTTGGCAACAAATATTCAATAAATCTTAAAGATTCGTTCTCGAATATTTTGTCAATTTGGGAATTTTAATTCTAAGCTGAATTTTAGAAATGTTTGACGATGTCAGTTGAAATTGTTTGAGTTGACTGCCAGTTCCGATTAGTAATAACTCAATAAAGAACCCCCAGAATTGATCAAAACATTAAGCTTATAAAGTAATTCACCAACAAAATCATAGTCATGGGTGGACAATGAAACTTATTTCGGAAAAAGTCATCAAATAGCATTTATGTCTACCAAACGCTCGCTTGAAAAATACTACCAGCTGTTTCATGCTGTGCTTTAAACTATCTCTAATAGTATTGACAGTTTCCGTTTTCTAACCTTGATCTTTGAGAGCAAAACAAAAGAAATTCGAAGCGGATGGAAGTATTAAAATTTTTATTGTTTTTGAATTTTTTATTGCATCAAAGTTGAATGATTCCCAACACCTTCTTAAAAATTTATCAAGAACCTTCCTGCAATTTTGTCAAAATTTAAACTGTTCCTTTAAAAAAAATGTCAAGCATACAAAGTGTGAAATAATTAATTTAATGCTTCAATTTTCGAGATAAAAGCCAGCCGCCTACCGATCATTTCATTATAGTGATCATGTGACAATTGCTGCTTGGCGCCACATCTAATGTAATGTAGATAACCATGATCAAATTAAATGAATTTATTCCTACTACTTGATCTGTTCTGGTTTGAGAATTCCAAAGTGTTTACTCAAATAAATTATCTGGAAATGAAGCAACAAGTTTAGCTTATCAAATAGTATTGAATAGCTGTCAAAATAATCTTATCTAAGGCGTTTGTTGAAGGAAATCATTGATAATGAAAAATTATTGTGAATAGTTTGTAAAATGTTAGGTTTTAAGCCATAACTTATGAATAAGGTGGCAAGTCTCTATTGGTATGTCATTAACTTCATAATTAGAATAAAAGTTTAAATCTCTTAAAAGAACTAGTCACTGATCATTAGCAAAATTGACAATCATTGATTACTATTGCAGTAAAGCTATTGGTGCCAATTAAAACTGACTAAACTCAACAATCGGCTCCCAACTCTGCTTGTAATTCTCATGTTAAAAAAAATACATTTAAATCTACAGAACCTCTTAAAATATTCAATTTAAACATGCACACTGGACAATTTTCGGGTATTCTTTAATTCTCTTCATTTCTCTCCATCTCCAGCATTTTAACATAAAAATTTAATTTCTATTCTTCCATTATTCTATTTCATTTCATTTCTATACACGCTCAAAAAAAATAAAAAAAGACTCTTTGTGAGAAAGGTCTTGTGGCAATTGAATCGTCACATAAACGAAAAATAGCGGATTTGGAAGCGAAACATAAATCAGAAATTCAAAGGCTATTTGTGGAAAAAGAGCAAGCGTTAGCCGAAGAAACGCAAGCAACGTTACAAGCACTCGAGTCAATGCGTAAAGCTCATCAAAATGAGGTAGAACGGGAAGTTAATAGATTTAAACAAGAATTTCTTCATAAATTTAATAACGATAATCGTGAACAATTGGAATCGCTGGCTGCGGTCAAAACGGAGAAAGAACTCGACGAAGTTCGACAAGAAATTCTATCGCTTAGCGAAAAATATTCATTAAAATGCGTAGAGGCAATTTCATTGGAAGAAAAATTGAGAAATGTGCAGCAAAAGTTTAGACATGCACAGCAGATTATTCAGAGTTATGAAATGATGTAAGCATAAATCAAATTTGCCAGGAGATTAATTGTCATTAATTAATCTTCGTATCTGTTGTATTAATCCGTTCTTATTGATTTATTCTTTCTCTTTTCTCGCTCCGCACAGGTCAAAAAATCCAAAATCCCATCAGGAAAGTTTCAGTTCATTAAATTTAAGACTAGATGATGTAAGTGCCTTATCTCAATTAACCAAATCAAGTAAAATAATTACAAATTGCCGCTAATGCATATAAATTAATTTCAATTCTCTCTTTTAATTACAGAATCTACCACATGAATCAATAAATCTTAAGAATCATGAATCATTACCTACATCGCCAACAAGTGTACCACGTGACGAATCCAAAGAATCTATTTTAAATTTACCATTAATTCCTTTTAAACTTAAAGCTGAAAAAAAGCATCAACGAACGAAATTGAATGATGGTAATTTATTGCAATTATTTAGCTTATTTTATGACAAAGCGCTCTTGCTTCTGATCCTCTATAAATCAGATGATCATTATAATTAGTGGGAATAATGAGGGATTGGATTGATGATATTATGAAGTTCTGGTGCATAAATCAATCCTGATTATTGATTGTGGAATATATTTCATATTAAGAGTTGGTTCCTTTATGATTCAATAAGTTTCTGTGGAATTTTGTAAGATAATTTGCGTCCTTAAAATGATGTCATCATGAAATATAAAGATTTAGTATTGATTCAGACCTACTTCCACTGAATTCCAATTAATTTATGTTAAATTGATGTTTATCCATGCTCGAAGTTTATTCAAAAGCTCTAAGTTAGAACCAAGCAGAATAAGTTCATCAATTAGCTACCACGAGTGCCGATTATGATAGTCTCTGATCCGTAGTCCAAGCTTTTAGAACTTGAACTATAAATTCCAAAACAATCATTAATTTCGTCACTAAGCCACTCAACCACGGTGCAATCCCACTCTATGAGTTTTGGCGGGAAATCTCGAAAAGTCATTAAAGCTTCCACTTTATGGCAATGTGTCATACCAAAAATTATAAATGAATAAGCCATAAAGTGACAAATTACAGCAATTATCTACTCGGAACATCTTAAAGCTTGAAGATTTGAATCACATTCTAATTACATGGTAACAAATTTAATCATATTTTACCGATCGGACCGGAAACAAAGCGCTTGAGTCATCAGCTACTTTAATTTTTTTATTTTGCATTATTCAAGCAATTTATTTCAATCAACAGTCGTGACTAATTCTCATTCTTATTTTTTTAATTCTTATTACACTAGGAACAAAGCTAGGATATTCAGCAACAGCGTCAATCGTAAAAGACGATAAAGACCACACGCAACACGAAGCAGCTTCGTCTCCTTTAGATTTGGATTTAAAGGACATGGAAAGAAGTTTCGAGTTGGAAATTTGAGAAGAGAAAGAGCTGCAACTTCCTTTTTTTCTTCATTCTTCTAATCATTTCAAAAATAAAGAGAGAAAAAAAAATTCTAAATTTTTTTAAATTAATTGGTTTCATTCATAAATTGTTTTGTGATAAAGGAACGTGTCTTCTAAAACTAAAGCAATAATAACTTCTATATATTAGATGATGACATTGATTATTAATCATTTTTTTATTTTATATTTCGTTTCCCTATTTTTTTTTTATCTAAAGATGAGAATATATTATAAAAAAAAATTGCGATATATACGTATATATTACTTATTTTCATTATATTATTAATGAGTTTTAGTGGCCATGATTTAGCTGTCATTAATTTTATTGCTACATTTTAAGTGTTAAAGAATGATTGTGCATGCGTGTGTGTGTATGGGTAGAACGAAAGATGCGAGAGACAAGCCCTATTTATTCATTGAAACATATAACTCCACATATTACCTACCTTTAGCTCCCTCATCATCGTTTAATAATAAAGAAAAGAATGCAAAATCATTTTTCATATTGTTACTATCCCAGTATTGCGCTAGAAAATGTTGTGTAATAAAGGAAATAAAATAAAAAAGATTTTTTTTTATTAAAAAAGAACAACTTCTTTTCATATTCTTCATCTATTTCTACATTTACTACATACTTCAACTTAATGATTGACATGTGTGTGCAATTTCTTCTCTTTTACAGGTTTATTTATTCATAATGAACATGTGAAATCATTTTATAATAGTTTTATTTCTACGATTGAATAAGCTCACATTTATGGCACATAGAAAGCAATTTAAAAACATAAATGAGGTTGTTCACAAATGATGTCTATCAAATAATGGATCCACGTCACTTCTCTTTGCACATTTTCGTCTGTTCCGGTGTTTACCTCTCAATCAGATTTTAGCTTCATATTCCTTGTTTTATCAAGCACTGATCTAGTTCCTTGTTGCTTAGAGGAATCTCTATGATGTCTTTGCTTAACAGGGTCTACATTTCAAGCCCCAGCATTACTCTTGGTACTTACATTTGCTCGGGAGTCCTTATCCAACCATCATTAGACCACTAAAGTGAACAACCATCAAAGTAATTTAATCTTCATGAAATGGATATTCTGGATGAGCTTTGTCAATCTCAAAATTCCATGCGCGCTGAACATATCCGAAACTTTGTAAATCATTCATATCCTCATCGGTTAATTGAAAGTCAAAGACGTCAATGTTGTTGATTATTCGTTTCTTTGTTACAGATTTTGGTATAACGACATTACCGAGCTGAATTTGGAAGCGGATTAAAATCTGTGCTGGTGATTTATTATGTTTTTCAGCTATTGCTTTTAATTTTGGTTCGCTTAAAATCGTGCGGTCCTCAGGTGTGGAATAATATTGAATACTGCTGCGTCCTGAATTAATTGACAAACTTAGTTATATTTTTGGGTTTAAGAATTATTTTACCTGTCGTACCTGGAGATCCCAATGGTGAATATGCAGTAACAATGATGTTCTTGCTCTTACAATGTTCTCGCAATTTTGTATTCAACAAGTATGGATGGCATTCAATTTGATTAGTGACTGGCTGAATTCTTGCATTCTCAGTGATGTAATTAATCTGCTTGATATTAAAATTGGAAACACCAATGCTCTTTGTCAAACCAGCATCAACGAGTTCCTCCATTGCACGATAGGTGTCAAGTAAGTCAAAATTCGTTAATAAATGTTTACCAGCTTCATCAAGTTTAAGTGACTCATCAGATTTAGCATATCCCATTGGCCAATGAATCAGGTAAAGATCAAGGTAGTCTAAATTTAATTTCTTTAAAGAATTCTCGCATGCACCACGAACTTCCTTCGGATCATGAAATGTATTCCATAATTTGGATGTAATGAACAAATCCTCGCGCTTGACAATTCCTTCATTTATTTTAGCATTTATTGCTTTTCCAACTTCATCTTCATTTTCATAGATGTAGGCACAGTCAAAATGACGATAGCCAGCATCAATTGCGTCCTTCACAGCTTGTACGACTTCTCCGACTGGCGACTATAATATTGATAAGGAAATTACATTTTATGCTGATGCTTGAGTTTATGGAACTAGGAAAATTTTTAAGGGTTTGTCGATTGTAAATTGATTTTTAAGAATAGAAGTTCACTCATTTTAGACGAATGGTAAATTTTTAATACAAACTGTTTAAAATTCAATTAATATTATTTTTTATGACTTACATTGTAGGTTCCTTAATAAATACAAAAATTAGTGATATTGTCAATTTAATTGATTAATTCAAAATTCTCACCAAGTCCAATAGTTGGCATTTCTATGCCGTTGTTAAGACTTATTGTAGGACACTTTGCCATTAAATCACTTACAGAATAATTCAATGCTGTATAAATTTCACCTCCTGAATTAGTTGAAAGTCGCGCGGCATGTGAACTTATAGCACATAGCACAATTGAGTAAAATATTCGTAGAGATGAAGTTCGGAAGTGCATTTTCGAGTTTATTGCGATCTGATTAGAGTATTTGTTCAGGAAGAAATACAATTAATAAATATTTTAATTTAATATTAAGGTTGTGTGCTATCAATTGCTATTAACAAAATTTCATTGACTGAATTTGTACACTTTTTGTGCTTTTTATAAGCTGGAAGATTGATTTTTATTATTGACTATTTTTATGGTCTAAAGCAGGGATGTACAATCTTTTCTAAGGCATGGAACCTGCTCGAAATTGCTAAAAATTAAGCCATAGTTCCAGATACTTCAGTTGAGCTTTTCAAGTTAAAATCTGAATACTGTCAATTTCGGTGGAGGTTAATACACTAGTGTCGTGGGACACAGACCTTCCATCATTAGTATATAGGACCATGTTGATGTTTCTAACTCAAGTTCTTATCGATATCAATGTTTGTGAACTATGCGCACACTTTTTGCTTGAAAAGGACCATTAATTTTATTATTCTACATTTTCTATGTTTTATAGGCACATGCATTCACAACATCTTGTCTACTGAAATAGATTAACTTATAGACAAAAATATCAACATCAACAAACATCAACACGTGAAAAAAACTCAGTTAAAAAATCATTTTTTATGGACGGTTTATTTCTTTAATTTAAGGTAGAGGCATGGACAGAATAAATATTCATGATAAATTTGTGACAAGATCAAGAGGACTGTTAATACAACATCTCAACATCACTTACTTACTTTCTTGGCTAAGGCACACGTGGGCCCATTGACGTAATCAGAGTTTGTCTAAAACTGGCTCAATCCTTAGACAACTTCTGCCTCGAGATCTCTTACCATCCAAAAATTCAGCTGTTATAATAAAGAAAACATGGAAGCTAAGGTTCATTATCCAAGATTACTTAAAAAGCGTTCCAGTCTGTTTCTTAGCTAAGCATATCTGTTTAATGAATAATTTATTACCACTTTATTAATTCAATGACTAAGCCAGATGCATTTATTTTTATTTTATTGAAGATCCAAATATTTTTATTAACTTTTTATTACTTTATTGATGAAGATAAGAATGAGTTTGATGATATTAATTAACTATAATATTAGGCATATGCTTTTAAGCTCCATTACACTGCAGTGTGTCACCAGATCATCACTGATAAGTCGCAAAAAGCTTGGCTATTCACTAATTTTACAGTAAATAGAATTGAATGAAATACGAACATCAATGAAATCTTAAATTGACTGACCAAAAAGAGTAGATGGCACATAAAGGTACAACAAAGATTGTTTTGGAATAAAAGGACATTTTTATTTGCAATTTCGATTGAATAAGGGGCCATTCACTTATTACGTAACGCTTTTAAGGGGAGGTTTTGTTACGATTCAAACAAGGAAATTTTTTTTTTCATACAAATTTTTTTACGAGGGGGGGGGGGGGTTTCTAAGAAGTCATTTTTTCTCGTTACGTAATAAGTGAACAGCCCCTAAGGCTCAAATTTTTTTGGTAAGTACACAAAAATAAATTTCACTGACATGAATAAAAGATTTTTTTAGTCTTCATGGAATGGATAGTCTGGATGACTTCCGTCAATTTCGAGAACACAGGCACGTTGTGTATATCCAAAGCTTTCCAAATCCTTAATGTCCTCGTCAGTTAATTCAAAATCAAAGACATCAATGTTACTGATGATTCGTTCCTTTGTAACAGATTTGGGAATAACGACATTGCCGAACTGAATTTGGAGACGGATTAAAATCTGTGCTGGTGATTTATTATACTTTTCAGCGATTGCTTTCAATTTTGGCTCGTGTAAAATGTTGCGATCTTCGGCTGTTGCATATGGACGTCCTAATACGATATTGATGAAATTAATTAATTTTATAAGAATGGACAGTTTTATAAATTTCATACCTGGTGATCCCAAAGGTGAGTAAGCTGTGACTACCAAATTTTTACTCTTGCAATGTTCTCGCAATTTTTTATTCAACAAATATGGATGGCATTCAAATTGGTTGACGACTGGCTTGATTCTTGAATTATCAACAATTTTAGTCACTAATCTGATATTGAAATTGGAGACTCCAATGCTCTTTGTTAATCCAGCATCAACAAGTTCCTCCATTGCACGATAAGTGTCAAGTAAATCAAAGTTTGTATGTAAATGCTGACCAGCTTCATTCTTTGGGAATAATTCATCGGACTTGACATATCCCATTGGCCAATGGATAAGATATAGATCAAGGTAGTCCAAATTAAGACGTTTCAATGTAATTTCAAAAGCACCACGAACTTCCTTTGGATCATGGAAAGTATTCCATAATTTGGATGTAATGAACAAATCCTCACGCTTTACAACTCCTTCAGCAATTTTAGCAGTGATGGCTTGACCAACTTCATGCTCATTTTCATAGACATAAGCACAGTCAATGTGACGATAGCCAGCATCAATAGCATCTTTAACTGCTTGTGCGACTTCTCCAGCTGGTGACTAAAAATAGATTTAATAGAAATTATTATGCTGAAGGCGTAGCTTATGCAATTTGCATGACATGATTATTTTATGCAATTATCTGAATGCATAGTCAATTATCTAAACTAAACAATCCCTAATGCTGCTTATCTGTTGTTAATTATTCAATGACACAGCACAATTTGTAATCACTAAAGGTACTTGAAGTAATTTTAGTTAAAATTCGTTGTTTATAAATTGACCTTGAATTCAGAATTAGATTATCGATGCTTCAGATATCACAAATGGCTTCATGATATCGAATTTCAATTGTCATTCCAACTCAACTAAAGTGTCAAATTTTAATCAACTTACATTCCACGTACCTGAAATTTGATAAAAAGATGATAAATCATAATTAGTATTTTTGCAGCACATGGCTTCAAACTACTCACCAAGTCCAAGAATTGGCATCAATTTGCCATTATTGAGAGTAATTGTTGGTGATTTTGCCATTTTTCCTCAAATTTCGATGCAGGAAAATTTCTAGAAAATATTTCTCAACTGTTTGAGATTCACCTGCTTAATAAGCTGAACGAAAAGAAGGAACTAAATTTATAGTGGGAAAAAATAGAAAAAAAATGATATCGGCTGGTGTGGATAAGTTTGTGAATGATGTGACTTACTTAATTTAATGTGAAAATTATTAAATGAGATTTAAGATTTATTTTTGTAAAGTTTTAAAGCAATAAATTCAAGAGTTGCTTATTGTTTTGGATATGCTTGTGAGTTTTTCGTAGTGACATTTCATCTGGATAGTTCCAACTACTAATACAAATATTATTGTATTTATTTCTAGCACTTTGTGAGCATAGTTTGACGAGATTCTCTCAAAAGCTTTATATTTTGAGAGCGAATTTTTTTAAAGAGAGTTTTTAAAATGTGCGATGGATCTAGCAGAATTATTAGAACTTCCCTTCATATAAATTCAAATAATTTAAAGAGTTTTGTTGATTGATTAAGGAATCTTAATTCATCATTATATTTTCTTGTATCCAATAAATCAAGTATCCAAAACTGTTGATTTTTGGTGTGAATTCAGTGTAATATTATGAAAGTCACTGAAAGATAAGCAATTTATCATGCTTCCTTCATATCAAATTTTAAAATGCAGAGTCATTTGCAATAAGCAACTGAACATTATCATTTTTAATGCGGTAATAATTATTTAAGGTATTTGGTAATCGCCTTTTCAACCCAGTAACTAGAAAATAAAAGTTTTAAGCTTGCTCTACTTCTGCTCCTTAAATTTTCATTAAATCATGATGTTGGCTCTCAAAATGTTTCCATTAGAAGACATAATCGCTGATAATTTGACAAGACAATAAACAGCATCAATTGCATCTTTATCAGACATATTAAAATTGTCCTAATGATCACCAAATGGTATGAAAAATCTTATAGTAAGTTATGTGCGCCTGAAAGGCTGGAATATGCAACACGTAAAACAAGAAAGTAATTTTAAAATTAATTATTAAGAATCATGATGAAACTTATCCATTGAGTGCCATTAGCACAATGATTTTACATTTTTTTGAACCAATAATTTCATAAGTTTCTAAATTCATTGCTCAGAAACATGGTGCTTAATTATCAGCATGACAATCGTTTCTAGTGATAGTGATAGCATGTGTCTAGCTGATAAAATTTAAACTGTCATTCTTATTCAACAAATTCCGTGTTCCATAAATTTGACTCAAGTTTTGGAAATTGTTGTAAATTGAATCGCAGTTCCTCCAGCTGAAAGGCTGGGTCCTTCACACATTATTATTCATTATTATTGGGAATTGTTATTGGACATTTTGATAAAGATCGAAAATTAAGTTCCGACTCTAACAATTTGGAACGATTTTCCATTATTAAGAGCGACTGTTGCTGATGTCATTTTGTCAATAGCTTGCAAACTCAAGCTACCAGTAAATATTTCACAATAATTTGAAATTCACCGTCAAATTAATTAGAAAATAGATTTTAAAATGCAAAAAATTCTAAAATGTCTGTTTTGGTTTTGAATATCTGTTGAGTTACAGCACTATCACAGACACAAGTGTGATTTATAGCACTTGAGAGGCTTCTTTTGTTTTTCTTCAGCTCTCTCGAAGCTTGTAATGAAAAATTTGAAGAGAATTAGAAAAAGAGAAAAACTCAAGTTGATTATAGGAAACTAGCTATACTGCGGATGTTCTGATTTAGATACACTAGTAGAACTGAAATTACATTGCATTACAAACATATTTAGCTCCACGTTAAAAGTGTTCACGTGTCTAATCTATATAAATTGAACTCATTGACTTATAATCAAAGGACAAACCATCTTCATTTCCAAGTCACTTCAAATCATACCTGAAAAAGCTAAAATTTCCCAAAAGAAGGCAAAAAACAATGATTATCGAGCATGATTCAGCATTTTATTTCAGATACATAAAGCACAAAATTTTCAATACTTTTACATTCATAACTTAATCTTCATGGAATGGATAATTTTTAGAACTTTTGAAATTCGTCATAGCGCAAATGCGTTGAACATGTTCAAAGCTTTGTAAATCCTTCACATCCTCATCACTCAATTCGAAACTGAAGACATCAATGTTATTGATGATTCGCTCTTTTGAGACAGATTTTGGAATGACAACATTGCCAAGCTGGATTTGGAATCGAATTAAGATTTGTGCTGGTGTCTTTTTCAGTTTCTCAGCAATTGCTAGTAACTTCGGTTCTTGAAGGAGAATTGGATCATTCGATGTTGCGAATGGACGTCCTGGAGATCCCAATGGTGAATATGCAGTAATGATGATGTTCTTGCTTTTGCAATGTTCTCGCAATTTTGTATTCAACAAGTATGGATGGCATTCAATTTGATTAGTGACTGGCTGAATTCTTGCATTCTCAGTGATGTAATTAATCTGCTTGATATTAAAATTGGAAACACCAATGCTCTTCGTCAAACCAGCATCAACTAGTTCCTCCATTGCACGATAGGTTTCAAGTAAGTCAGAGTCACCATACAATGGCTTGCCTGCCTCATCTTTTGGGAACAATTCAGTTGATTTTGCAAAACTTACAGGACAATGAATAAGGTAAAGATCAACATAGTCCAATTTTAATTTCTTCAAGGAAACTTCAATAGCACCACGAACTTCCTTTGGATCATGGAATGTGCACCATAATTTTGTTGTAATGAAAAGATCCTCACGCTTGACAACTCCTTCAGCGATCTTTGTAGCAATTCCTTCGCCAACTTCTTCTTCATTTTGATAGACATAAGCACCATCAATGTGACGATATCCTGCATCAATTGCATCTTTTACAGCTTGAGTGACTTCTCCAGCTGGTGACTGAAATATTAATAAAGAGTAATTTATGATGACAGCACAGTTTATGCAATAAGCATGACATGAAATAATTGATGTATCCAAACACATCATGAATTATTAAGGAAGGCAACATTTTGCGCACATTATCTTAAATTATTAAGTGACCAATGAATTCATTATTTATTGATACTTGAAAGGTACTTGAAGCATCAAGAACAACTATATGTTGCATGCTTAATGACTTTGATAATCGATGTCTTTGATAAGAATTTTGCTTCCCGAAACTTCTCTTAGAATCGTAAAGCTTAATGACTAGTTATTTATTTATCTGGTTTGGTTCCTAAGATAAGAGGTAGATTTAAGTATGAACAGTTTAGAGTTTTGAGTTTTGTTTTGAACATTAGATAAGTACAAGGTTGGGACTTGATTACTTTTGAGATCCAAGGAACGAGGCCGTTCACTTATGACGTCCAGGGGGGGGGGGGGGGGGGGTCAGCAAGAAAAGAACAATAGAAATTCCAGGAAATTCATTGTTTTTTTTTTGAAAAATGACCGTTAATTTCGGACGTCATAAGTGAACGACCCCAAAGGGATACTTGAAAATTCATTGTTCTTATGTGAATAAAACTGAACAAAACCAATTAAATTTGAATGCCCTAAATTAACGATCCCGTAAATTTTTCAATAATCTTTGGTTCAAGTCCTACATTTTAAACACTTGAGGAAAAAGAAAATCAGTTCGATTTCACTTCACAATAAACAAATGAATGATTTGTCAATTTAAGGTTTAGCTTTAAAGACGACTAAGAATAGGATTAGTAATAGCTCATGATTTTTTGTGCTATTTTGTGAAAGCAGAAAAATAACCTTTTTAAATTTTGTGAAGTTGCCAGTTCCGAGATATGAGCATCTGAAAACGGAGTTTGGGCAGTTTTTTTCCTTTTAACAAGTTCGACTGTAAATCTGACAAGGCTTGCACTGATGTAGTTCACAATATTACAATTAAGCCTTCTAAAGACTTTTAAAAAAGGTTAGGACCAATTATTCTCTTAAACTTAAATGATAAAATCATCTAGACATTTTTTCTACTTATCTGATGATACTCAAATATTAATGAAAATATTCGATATCGATTTTGCATTGTCATTTCTGTGCGTTAAAAGTTTATCAACTTACATTCCAAGTCCCTGTGAAATTGATAAAAGACGAAATATTAGATATGATTAACTTTGAATTATATCAAGTCTACATCTTACCAAGTCCGACAATTGGAAATTGTTGTCCATTATTAAGAGTGACTGTTGGTGATGCCATTTTTCAATAATTAATAAATTCAACAAGTTTTAATAGAAATTTTCAAGCGCAACCAAAATCACCGGCTAAATAAGTTGAGCTCCGAAAAGGCACTGAATTTATAGTAAGCTGAACAGAGAATCATATTATTTTGTAAACACATTTAACTCACTAATACAGTCAATTTATGAGTAATTTTTTACTATTGCTCTAAAAGCTTCGATCTCTCTCTCGAGAGGAATTTCCATAAAACCTAGCAATGTCTATCTACTAAAATGTTCAAATTTCTCTAAAATTCTTCTTAAAAACTTCATGATTTTGAAAACAGAAATCATTTCCAGTAAAAACACAGTTATTGAGACAATAAATCCTATCACAAGCAATTCCAAACATCCTTTTATATCCTTCACATTTATAGTTCTAGGTCCAGTCACTGGATCTTCCATATTGACATATCTTCGATCTAAATACCGTTCCATCCACATTGAAATTAATCCTGATGCTGTATATCTTCCCATTTTCTCATTAAGTGCACTAATTAAATGAAAATTTTTTGGGAATAGATAGACAATTGAGATATCCAGCAGATATTCTTTAAGAACTTTAAGTGTGAAATTCTTCTGATTAATTTCATTTGAGTAAATCACTTCCATGACTGGCAAAATTATTCCACCTTTATATAATGGATTAAGAGTTTTTGGTATTAAGTCAGCATACGCTTCAGGCTTTGTAACTTTTGTGCTGCAAATTCATCAAAAATAATTAACTGACAAAATAAATTTAAAAATTCAAAAGCTCACCGATTGTAAAAGCTCATATGCTTTACTGTATGCTCAATTGTATCCCGAACATAGAATGTAAACTTTGCTTTCATCATTTCATCTATTGTCTGCAGTTCTGGATTTCTATCGTCAGATTGAAGGAATTGAAATAAAGATCCTTGATAGACAGTCCGAATGATGAAGCAAAATATGAAAAAGACCATCAATATGAATCTAGCGAATGTCCTATTTGGAAGTCTATTCTGTATCCCATTCAGGAAAATATTAAATAAATTTGTAAATGGTGTCCTTAAGTCAGTTCCATAAATAAAGTTCTTAACATGTTCACTTTGATAGTTGATGATGAAAATTACAATAATTCCAAGTGTAAATACAACAATCAAGCAGATCCAAACATTTCTCTGGAATGGCTTGAAAAGCTTCTCAAATGATGAATATGGAGATCCAGGAGGTATCATAATGACTATAGACACAGAGTAATGTGAATGTGTAAAGCTTAAATGTTTAGCTCGTGCGAAATTCAAAAAATAAAATCCCATTGCCATGTCCAATTCCTTATCCATGACTTGCTTTAATATTCCTGTAGCAGTTCCATTCTCAGATAATAATCCTTTATGGAAATAGTTATAATAAGTGTGATTAACAGTAAATTCCATAGCATATGCTAGTAAAAATAGAATTTCCATCTCACTGCCATAATATCGATGGGTGCCGTTCCTTAATGTCTCTCGCATTATTATTGGTGGATATCGGAATGAGGCAACACGTAATGGACATTGATATAGGCTTTTTAATTTTGGTGGGAAAAAGTTTTCATTGCTCCATGAATTTTTAATGAATATATTAATGATGACTGAGTCTGTGCAACCACATTTGCCTGCTTGATAAGGCACAAATGTTTTCATGAGAATCTCTTCATCATCCTTACAGATTATATTGATATTGAAGATTTGTTGCTTCCAAACGATTTCAAAAAGTTTCTTTTCGTTTGTCTCATTGCAATTATTGAATGATAGGAGGATATAGAATCCATCTAGTCGAAAATATTGAAGATTTGATTTCACTAGGATTATCAAGACTTCCTCAATATCTCTAAATAGAATCACATTATTATAGGACGGCTTCAATTTGATTTTTGATGAATTGAAAATATCTTTTGTGAATAATTCGATTGGAAATTCAACAAAATCAAAAGATTTATCAATCATCCTGAATAACTCTGGAGTTCCAATAATCCTGACGGTCGAATTGCTTTGTGTCAATAAGAACATTTGATCGAAAGCTTCTGCAACATCCGAATGATTCGTACTCAACTCTTTACTTAGAATTTTAAACATTTTGTCACATTTTATTAATCCAAAAATACTCAAGACGATGAAAGAACTTAGCTTCATCTTCTCACCATTCTCAAGTCACGACTAAAAAAGTGACAGTTGTGATTGCACGTTTCGGACGACTTTGACACTGAAATATTTACTTTATTAGACAGAGTCTATAAATATTCATAGTTTCTGTAATAAATCAAGGTATTTAAAAATTCATCTGTGGTAAATAATAGCGTGAAATAGTGGACACAAGTGGCCCATTTTATGGTATTAATAAATATTGATTTACGTATAGAGAATTAATTTAATTTACTATGCATTAATATTTGATACAAAAGTTTTTATTATGAACCTTACAAGTTCCTTCAAAGTTCCATTTCCGGTCTAATATTTGCTTAATAGTAAAATTAAGTAAATATTTTGAATATTTTTGACAATCTTATGTCTAGGCTGTCCATAAAGAAAAATAGACTATACAGCTAGTTCGTTTTTAGCTTTCCTAGTCACAGTTTAATTTAATTTAAATCCCACAGTGAAGTACTTCAATTTTAGACTCAACTTAGCTACGGGTAGCCTTAAAACTGGATCAAGAACACTCTTTTGACTAGCTTTGAGCCCAAAATGACAAGCTTTCTTATAAAAATGAATATTTTAAAATTTCAATATAATCAGGACATGCTCAACTTTTCGGTAATGATTACTTCTTTGGCTGGAGCGCACGTGAGCCCATTGCCACGCATAGAAATCGTCTGAAGACAGCTCTATCCTTAGAAACCTTATGTCAGTTCGGAATATTGAGGACTCTAGCGTCCTTTTTAACACATCTAATCCACGAGTTCTTCGGTCTCTTGATCTGTCTTATTGAAAAAGTTTTGTGATAGCTTCGATTATCTTGTAGGCGTTAAGGAATCGTTTATTAATTGGGAATACTTAATTGTTTCTATTTTTAACTACATTCCCGGTGTATTGGTTAAATAATTAATTCAAAGTTAATTGTTATCATTCATGCAAGGTTTACACGTGTTTCAATTTCACTCGACCATCAATTCATTGCATTTCACCCTAGAAACGATAATTTACTTAATGGCGCTGTATGCTCCTTAAAAAAATATTATCTCCAATCTGAAAAGATATCAACCGCAATGAAGATAATGAATTTGATTTTAGCTCCAAATTAAGCACCTCCAATTTAAATGCCTTCAATTTGGAGACTTTAAGTCATCAACTTGTAAATATTTATTTCAACACAGACTAGACAATCCAATCATTAATAAAAAATATAATTAAATACATAAGAATTCTAGTGCTTGTAACAATGACTTATTCTATATTTTATTCAGCACATTTCTAAGTAATTTCATGCTCTTATGGCTTGAAACCACTTCAATCACAAATAGTACAATTGATATTATCATTCCAATCGTCCAAACCTCAAAGCTACCCAAAAGCTGGTTAACATTTATTATTCTCGGTCCAGTGCTTGGCGTTTTTATATTGACATATTTTTTGTCCACATAATGATCCATCCACATCGAAACGATCCCAGCAGATTTCAAAAGTTCAAGCTTCTCATCAAGAACATCGACAAGATGAAAGTTTTTTGGATAGTAATAAACAATTTGGACATCAAACAGGTATTCTTTGAGGACTCTGAAGATAAAGTTTTTGTAGTTTTCTTGATTCGGTAGAATAACCTCCAATAAAGGCATGATGATACCTCCTTTAAAATTTGGGTCAAGCGTTTTCTTTATTAGTGCTGGATATTCACTGAACTTTACGACTTTTCGACTAAAATGGAAATTATGTTTTTAATCATTAATGGCTGTAAAAAAGTTCATAGTTGATGATCGGATTGTTAAGTCACTTACCGGTTATAAAAACTCATACTTTTGATGTTATGCTCCAAAGTCTCGCGGATATAAAACAAATAATGATGCCTCATAAGTTCATCAATAGTTTCCATGTTAGGCTTTGTTCCATCAGACTGTAAAAATTGATACAAAGATCCTTGATAAGTCGTCCTCAAGACTAGGCAAAAAATCATAAAAATCATAAGAACATATCTTGCAAATGTCCTTTGTGGTAGAACATCCTGAAATCCATTAACAAGAATGTTGTACAAGTTCAAGTACGGAGTATTAATTTTACTTCCGAAAACAAAATTCCTTATTTTTTCATTTTGACAATTAATTATCGTTATTGTGACTAATTCAATAGCAAATGTCAACAGCAATGAGCACCAAAGGATTAATTGAAAAGGCTGAAAGAGTTTTTCGAATGCTGAATATGGTTGCCCCCCGGGTATCATAATGACTAATGGAATGCTATAATGCGATTGAGTAAAACTCAGAAATTTTGATCTTTGAAGCGTCAAGTAATAAAAACCCATTAGCATATCCATTTCCCCATCCAATGTTTGCTTTAATAATCCAACCCCGGTGCCATTATCGAAAAGTAATCCAGACGATCCAGTTTTTGGGACATAATTATGATTTATGTTAAAATTAAGGATTTGTGATAATTCCTTAACAATCTCCATCTCACTCCCAAAATACCGAAAGCTTCCATCTGCTAATGTCTCTCGCATTGTTATAGGCGGATAAAGGAACGATGCAACTTTTAATTGACATTTGAAAAGATTTGTGAATTTTTGTGGGAAAAAGTTTTCATTGTTCCATGAATAATTAATGAATTTGTCAATAATGACTGAGTCTGTGCTGCCACATTTTCCAAATTGATAAGGCACGAATGTTTTCATTTGAATTTCCTCATCGGAATTTTTACAAATTAAATTAATATTGTAGATTTGTTGTTGCCAAACTTTTTCAAAAATTTTACTTTCATTTGTCTTATTGCAGGCATTGAATGATAAGAGGATGTAAAATCCATCAAGCCGGAAATATTGCAAATTATTCTTGTGGAAAATTATTGAAATATCCTTAGAGTCTTCAAGCATAATCAGATTAACATAAGATGAGCTGAGAATTCTTGAAGAATTGAAAAATTCTTTTGTAAGAAGTTCAAAGGAAAATTCGGAAAAGTTCAGTGACTTTTCGATTGCTGTAAAAATTCCTTCAGTTCCAATAATCCTCATTGAAGAATTTTCCCACATTTTTATGGCACTTTCAAATGCTTTCAAAAGGTTAACATTAAAGTTGTCAGTCTCATTTCTGTACCAGACAGGAGATCTTTCACAATTTATGTATAAAAGTATGTTAAAGATTAAAAAAAGTCTCAACTGCATTCTTCTGCTTGTATTTAACAACTAATTCCTTTATTATTATAAGCACTCTCTAGACACTTTGTTCACAAATTACCTACATTTATTAATATTTAATTCCATAATATTTTGACGTCAAGTAAATATACATATCATACTTTCTACGAAAATTATGTCTCGTCTGAAGTAATGATAAATTTTCTTTGAATGATGAGGTGCTTGTTGGGTGACTAAATGGATTTTTTGAGGATTTTAATCATGATTTGGCTTTAATGGGTGTTACAGATGGATTCTTAGGATTTGTATGACTGAAAGTACAGTGGATTGGCTGTCAAATGAGAAGCTTCTGAAAAAAGGTCATAAATATAGAGATACAGATTATGAGACACGGCTGGATTGGATATACACTTCGCAAGACAAATTGTCATTAGCAATGGCATATCTGTTGCAGGAAAACACTATCTTTGGCTTAAATATGGAAGGGGAAAAGATGTCCTGGAGCCTTAAAAGTTGCATGGTGCAAAACAGTGACTTATTAATGCATAAGCAAGGTAACAAAGACATCATCAGAGTCACATGGTCCCACATGGCCCGTAAGAGCATGGCAACAGTTAACAGGAAATTAATCAAGATTTGGAGATCCTGATTTAATTGATAAGCCATGAACCAGCTGTATCAAACTGATTAAAATGGTCAAAAATAATCTTAAACCAGTTTGATCAACCCTACACTCTTGCCAAGAATATGAAATAGTGCTGGTTAACCTCAAAAGAACTTTCCGAGTTTTCTGGAAAAATGAATTAAATTAATCATTTAAAAATGACCAAAACTTTTTACTTCCAGTTCACAAAACTTGAGTCCAGAAAACATCCAATTCAGACATCCCACAACATTATTAATTTATCCTAATAACATTTTATTACACTCATTACGATATTTCCTTCCTAGACAATAAATTTTCTTTCTTAACACCTCAACAATAAAGGATATAAATGAGCAAATTAACCCTAAAACTAATAGTTGAAATGCTCCATAAAGCTCATCGAGATTCAGTACATTAGGTCCACTTTCTTGTGCTTTCAATCGCAAATATTTTTCATCCAAATATTTTGATATCCAATAATTAATCAAACCATTTGACAATAAGCCATCGATTTTCTCATTTATGATGTTTGTTAAGTACGAGCTTTTTTTCATGCAAAATACAGTCGGTACAGTAAGGACTATTTCGTTGAGGACATTGTATGATGCACTTTTGTGATTGTGCTGGTTAATGTAGATTACCTCGTCACTTGAATCGACGACTGTATGCTTTGAATTGGGATTTAAAGTTTGTTCGATGAAGTTATTGTATTGTGATGGATTTGCTGGTTTTCGTCTGGAACTTAAGAAAAGTATGTATGACTATTGATGCTTAAGTTTGTACAAGATGGAATGAATTTAAATCAATGGAAATTACATCGCAGTTATCATTGAAATCTTGTCAAATTGAAATTCTTGCTGTTAATTCATTTTGTTTAAATTATTCTAATACAGTGTGCAAGAACTTGTAGCTACATTTATTAAAAGGTTTGAGGATGTCAGGTAAATATTAAGGAATTTAAAACCAGAGGTAATTAATGTGTATCTTTATGGAATTCTTATACGGATGAAATCAAGAAATTGATGAAAAAAACACAAAATCCAGCTAAGAATCAACAATTTACAACTCACGTGCCATAAAACTTCTGATACTTGACCATATCCTCAACAGTCGGATCAATAACAAACTTAAAATCATTCTCAATCAGCTCATCAATTGTCTGTAAATCTCTCTTTCGTCCATCAGATTGTAAAAATTTATAAAGTGATCCTACATACAAGCTCCGCAAAACGAATGTAAAGAAAACAAAGCTCATCAATAGCATTCGTGAAAAGTCATTTCTGGGAAGGACATGCTGTGAGCTTCCAAATAAAACAACAAGTATTTGAAGTCTTGGGGCATTGATATTTTTATCAAAAAATAAAAGTTGAATGGATTTTGATTGCTTTTTGATGATGAATACCGCAATGAAGCAACAAAGAATGAAAATTGCAGAATACATTCATAAATGGAATGAAAAAGTTCTGGTGAGTTTTTTCAATGCAGAATATTGTGGACGTTTGGGTATAATTAAAACCATTTTAATGGAATAGTAAGCGTGACTGTACTGAAAGAAGCGGCTTCTTAGTTCCATTAGATACTAAAAATTAGCAGCAATATCAGCTGATCCATTATTTAGAAATTCGAAAGCACCTGCCATTGTTCCATTCTCAAAAACTTGCCCCCAAGCACCTGGCTCAGTTAAGACTTTTAAGCTTAATTTAGCATTCAAGGCACTCGCAATTCCCCGGAAAATTTCAACATCACTTTCATTAATTAATTTCGTTCCATTTAAGAAAATTGTTTCTTGTGCTGACGGTCCATAAGCACAAACAATAGCATTAATAGGGCAATTATGAAAATCACGTAATTTCGATGGAAAAACAGTTCCTCGTATCCATTTTCTCGTATTATTATTGAACTCGTTTATATTAATGGGATTTGTATTAGAGCACTTGACATATGAGAATGGATAGAATGTAAACATTCTCACGACATTATTGATTTCATCGAGTGTTAATATGTTTACATTATGTATGTAGTATTGTCGCCATAAGTGGGTAAATATCAATTCTAGGCTGGTTCGCCTGAAATGTCTCATACCTAGCAGAAATTCACTAGTAATTTACTGGATAACTTTCCATTTGCTACTTGCTATTTACTAGTCAAAATCCAAGTTCAAATCTTCGCCAAAGACCCGCATTTTCACTTGGTAATTGACTAGTCAATTCGCTTATAATTTAACTAGTAATTTACTAGCAAATTTGTAAAAAATTTAAATGAATGTAACCGTTGATTTCCACGTGTTCTTTTGATTTTTCTGATTTGTGTAAATTATTGTAAAAGTATTAGTGTGTTCTTAATTAAAGTACACTAACACTATGAAAAAAATTAAAAGACTTAATTTAATTAAGTCGAACACTGATGAACGCTTATGACTCGCACGCAAACCTGAGGAAGATAAATAATTAATTGAAAGTCACATACAAATTTGGATCGAGCTTATAAAGGTGATTTCTGCTCGCTCTTGTGAAGTATATGGCAAATGCCAAATGTAGAACAAAATTTTTTATGACGCAAAAAATTCTTTTTATGACGCAAAAAATTCTTTTTATGACGCAAAAAATTCTTTTTATGACGCAAAAATTCTTCTAATCATTAGTGTGTTCTTAATTAAAGTACACTAACACTATGAAAAAAATAAAAGACTTAATTTAATTAAGTCGAACACTGATGAACGCTTATGACTCGCACGCAAACCTGAGGAAGATAAATAATTAATTGAAAGTCACATACAAATTTGGATCGAGCTTATAAAGGTGATTTCTGCGCGCTCTTGTGAAGTATATGGCAAATGTCAAATTTAGAACAAAATTTTTTATGACGCAAAAAATTCTTTTTATGACGCAAAAAATTCTTTTTATGACGCAAAAAGTTCTTTTTATGACGCAAAAAATTCTTTTTATGACGCAAAAAATTCTTTTTATGACGCAAAAATTCTTTTTATGACGCAAAAAATTCTTTTTATGACGCAAAAAATTCTTTTTTTTGATGATTTTTCGTAAGATTCGAATTTAATCAGATTTGATCAAACATTTCACATGGTAATTTGCTATTTAGTAGTAAGTGTAATAGAAAGACTAGCAATTTGCTCGTTAGTCTCGCTAGGGCATCACTATCAAGTAATTGCCACTGACATCAAATTTACTTAACATGATCACATTCGCAATCAGGTCAATAATATAACCGAAAGTGTCGACAATTAAAATTACAAAGCTTTTCTTCCTGCTTGAATTAATTGCATTTATTGTTTTTGTATGATGCTCATTAAGCTCCATCATCATTTTGATGCAATTGAGCGAATTTAATTTTAATACATCATGTGGATATGCGATAATATCAATTGTTGTTATCGATGCGATGCTTGTAATTATTTCATTCAGTGATTCACACAAAATTGACTCTTTGTTGTCTACTTCCTTTATTGTTCGACATTGAACTTGATAGATATTTGCGGTTAAAATAAAAATGATGGAAATTGTTAATGCACGGCTATTTTGCGGCATAGCTTGAGGACATTTGTAATGAAACTGAAATTTGAATGAAGCTTGGAAAAACTTTAATGAGACCTGTTGTTGTTTGAGAAAATGTTAGCTGTCTACTCAAGACAAATATTTGGATTAAGGAAGTAACTTTTTTTGATGAATCAATGAACGTTTATGTTGTGGCTCAATTAATTTTGATGGACGTTGACTAAAATCTGTAGAGAAAATAGTATTTGATTAAACTTGAAGTTCTATCTAAGTTCTATATTTAAGAATCGAAGGGGCAAGACTAAAATATTATATATTAAGCATTCTTGAACTGTTTTGATTATTTTCAAACATTTTTGATCCTTTTTGGCAGAGCTCGAAGTCGATAGGGTTTGAGTCAACTCGACTCGATTGATTTTTGTAAATTTTTGACTAGTCCACTCGATTTTGTTGGTAAAAAAATCACTATTTGACGTTTTAAGGCTAGTTCATTACTTTAGCTAATTTTTATATTAATATTCTGAACTTAAAATGTATCCAAAGATTTTTGGGGACATTATTCTTTTCAATACTGAGATTGTTGGGATTATTTGGGATTATTGAGATTATTTGGGATCATTGGGATTATTTGGGATTATTTGGATAATTCCCAGTGTCCACGCCTTGTTTTTGACCATTTTTAATTATTTTTGATTTTTTTATCAATTTGAATCATTCCATGTTTGCATATTCCTTTGTTTGATTATTTAGCACAGCTAATACATGCTTGTCACTGAAGTGCATCTGTAAATTTCCTGAAAAACAGAAAAAATTTCTATTTCAAAGAAAAACAAAAATTAATTTCACGTGTTAATGTTTTGATCATTTTTTTATTCATTTAATATCTCTCGATTTGATTATGTATGACTTACAAATTTACATTTAAAAAATCTTCTTTACCAATTATCATCATGATCAATAAACAAAATTTGATTTTGATTGATTTTTTTTTCTTTCATTTTCATGTACTTTGTCTACCGATTATTACAAATAAAAACAAAGAACTAATGGGAATGACTTAGACCAAGTTTTTATTAATTTTCTTAAGTTTTTTGTAACTTCAAATTTTGGAAATTCAAACACCGATTGTTTTTTGTACACAATATAATATGCTTGTAAAAAGTTCAATAATGTTTTTCTTTTCTTGTTTTGTTTTGTTTTTAAAAGAATATCAAAGGTATTCGAAAGAGAAATACTTGGTTCTCATTGAGTAAAAAGGTATATAAAGTTTGATTGAAGGGAGTATAGGAATAATACATTTGACAAATGTTGTATAAAGTTTTGTTTTGTTGATGTTGTAATTTAAGGAAATTTTTAAGATAAATATTTGAGTTTAGGTTTTATATTGATTTGATTTTAAGGTTTATTTTATGTAAATTTGTGGGATTTGACCTTTGTGATGGGAATTATTAGACATTCAATAGGAAAATTGCTGATTCGAGATAGATTTATATTCGATATTTGGATCATCTTGCAGGATTTGATCTTTAGCTACACAGTTAGACCTTCTCATTTAATTTCATAATATTAAAAACGACAAAACATCCTAATTTCAAATATTTGGTATAAAAATTTCCTCAATACATTGAAATGAACAACATAAAGCTACAAAATGATAATTTATTGATCTTAAAGATATTTCTGATAGATAAAAATCAATCGTTAATTATTCATGATTTAGGGAAATTTTATAAAATCGCTGTTCTATCCTGTTTTATCTTAGCTTTAGCATTAAGATGACTAAAGTAGATTTAACTGATTCCTCCTATAAATTAATGATTTTGATTTGGAAAACCAGTTGAAAACATTAGATTAAGCTTTTGTCTACTATAATTAAGAACTAATGTTCAACTAGCTTTCTATTAAAACTTATAAGATCAAAAAATATCTTTCCTGTAGCCATATGCCGCTCATACTTTATTATGAAGATTGTTAAAAATTATTTAATGGAGGGATGGATATTATTTTATGAAATAGTTAAATAACTGAACAAAAAAATATATTCGATAGTGTAAAAATACAACTGGATTCACTTTTGATGCCACAAAAAATTTCTTCTTTTTTTAATAAATGTATGTAACGATTAAAACGATTAAAAAACTGTTTTATACTTCAGCCTTTCCGTTCACATTTAGAGCCATAAACGATTTTTTTTTCTCATATGTTTTTTTCTTCTTTTGGTAAATGGTGTGAAAAATTGATGTAAAAAATTGTTTTAAAATGCATGGTTTGGGATAACATAAAGCAAAACTAAGTTGATTATCTTCTTGTGGAGCTTAGGATTGTCTACCTTAATTAAAACTTGATTGAATTCATTTGATGAATGTCCTTAAGTTAAGAATGTATATCTCGTCAAAATTGATAAGTTCAACAGTTCCATGACCTTAACTAAGCAGATTAATACTTATTTGTGTTTATCTTAATTCTAGTTCTGAATCTTAATTCAAAATTAGAATGAACATTCAAAATCGGCTTCAAAACAACTTTTTCCATAAATTTTTCAACCATCAATAATACAAATAATTTTTAATAATTGCTGTCTTAAATTTGATTCAAATTTTTAAAATTGATCTCTTACATATAAAGTATTTCACTTACGATAGCTTTCACTCTTGCTATCATAAATTCCAGCTTAAAATCACTGATTCAAAGTATTCGAGTTTTGCATTGAAAATTCAATATTTTAAGATCAATTTTAAATTTATTGAACCAAAATTCACTTTAGCATTTTTTTTCTCTTTTAAAAAATGTAAAATCAGATAAAAAGGTTATGTGACATCAACTTTTTTTCAAATATATGGTAACAAAATTATCATTATTTATCATAATTCATTTCTTTTAAAAATCACATTTGATGACATGCTTGCTTAAATTCCCGACTCTGCAATTCCTTCGTCATCTATTGAATGGAAATAGAGAAAGTTAAAGAAAAGAAGAAAGAAAATCATTTAGATTTGAAGGTTTAAGGATTGATAAATGTTGACATTAACATTCAAATTCAGCAGAAAAGTTAAAGAGCGTAGTTGCAGACACAAAGACGTTGTTGGGGATTTTCAGAGTTAACCTTTAGAGGTAGAATCCAAAATCCAGTAGCCAAGACACTGTTAAAGACAAGGGTCAGACACTCCAAAAGTATTGTAGAGTATTGTACAATACTTTACAATACATATGAAAGTATTGTAAGTATTGTACAATACTCTACAATACTTTTGGAGTGTCTGACCCTTGAAGCAAGTTTGATTTCATACGCAAAAACCTACACATTGCTTCATCTTGAAGTTCAATAAAGATTTTAATTCAATTCGGTTACCAATTCTTGACCAGCGCATACATTGCTCCTCAAATCAATATAAATTCTTTGGAAATCTTTTTAAAATACGCTTTTTAACTTTCAAGTTGAATAAAACAAACGAAAAAAATAAAATAAAAAATAATTCATTGGAAAATCATCACAGCGGATGGAATGGTAATGTTAGTACTGAGTGGGTAGTTAGACATAAACCAATAAAATCAAGTTAGTAAAATTAAACTATAGGAATACACCAATAAAATAGGGATGGAAAACAATAATAATCATGCCACCTAAATAATTCAAAGCATATCCGACACAAGCAACAACAAAAAAAAAATAATCAAAAAAGGTCAGAAAATTTAAAATTTAAATGCATTAAATTTAGGTATAAATTTATAGTATATCAATCTACCAACCCATTTTGATTTTCATACAAATTTCGTCGAAACCATTAACACCAACACCGTTGTGCATTGCTTTTACTTCCACTTTTGCTTTAATATTAATAATATCATTATTTTTGCATGTTTTAAGTAATTTCTGCTCTGAATTTTCTTCCTCATCCTCATCCTCGTCTTCATCATCGTCGTCTTGTATCAAATCAGCATTATCAAGATCACTATTCTCATTAGATTCAAGCTGACTATTGATTTCTACAATAATCTCATCTTGGCATATAGTAACAGCCTTTGTGGCACTGCCTGATCCACTCTGATGACTAATAATACTAGTGTCGCTGCTACGCTTACTAGTAGTATCGTCATTAAACTCCTGATGTCATCTCTCTTCCTTCCACTGATTCATTATCGGATCACTATCGTTTATTAGGGTTGTTGTGGTATTTTCTGTCGTTGTGTTTGTGTTTGTCGTTGTCTCCTCATCGTTAGCTGGCTCATTTTCAACAAGTGCCTTCTCTTCATCATCAAACTCATCGATTCCTTCGTCTTCTTCAATATCATTTGCTTCCTTCCTGATTTCATTCTCGACTGTCTTCATTTCCTCGGTTTCATCCAGTGGTTTATTCAATTCTGTTTTTTTTTTCATTTTTTTCATGTTAGAGAGAATTTTCAATTTTATGTGGATAGAAAGGATATTCATGTGTGGATATTATTTTAATAGGAGGATAGAAGTCAGGATGGAAAAGCAAAGAAAGACAAAAGAAAGTTTTTTTCGGTTTAATTAATTACTTCCAACACCAAAAAATAGGAAAATAGTAAAGAACAACTAGTTATAGCGATCATCTTAGTTGCGGATGATCTGGACGCAGTTTTTGTGGATAATCAAGCAGGAACGTATTGCTTTGGATAGTTTATTTGGCTATAAGACTGACTTTGTTGATAATATTGGCAACAAGGGTAAGGAATTGATCAAAATGACTCTAAATAAATGAAAAGCAGTTGATTAGCTCTGCTTTCTAGTTTTTCAATAAAGACTGCACAAAACAGAGACATTTGGAATAAATCACATTCCTTAATAAATCCAAGAGCTTCCTGGCATGATGTTTGGTATCATACTAGAACAGTGTTGTCCAAACTGTGTGCCGCGGCACACTAGTGTGCCGTAGAAACTTTTTGAAACTGGCACGAGCCGCATACTGTGTGCGACTTCGGTCATGGCTTAACCCTTCAGGTGTGCCGTGTCTCAAAAAAGTTTGGACAACACTGTACTAGAAATTTCTAACCTGTTCATTAGTGGCATTTAGAATATTATGTCCAGAAATGTTGGGATTTTCAGGATTAGTCCAGAGTAAATACGCTTTGACATTATTTAAGCTATACACAGCAGTCTCAAGCATGTCACTTGAAAAATATAATTTTGTAAGCATAACATTTGGCTCTACAGACAAAAATGACAAATTTTTATGTCATCCTGTTGTGAAATTCCAAATGTCAGAAGTAACATCACCAACATCGCGGATATTAATTAACTTGCACAGCTATTCAGCTACAAAAATGACAAATATTCAGCCATGTCTTTAATCAACGTGTCAGTTAATCAACCAAGCAATTAATCATCAAAAAATAGAGAAAAAATTGCATGTCTTGAGGACGAGTATAGTACTTGATTAATTAACTGATAATGTAGCTGAACATGAAGTTTTTATCTGCTTAATGCCCTAACATTTATAAGATCAATACATCCATAAAAGTATTCATCTTATTAACAATTCCAATCAGTCTTTAAACCATCCAAGTTCCGAAACATCCTAGCAATTCATAGTGAATATGTCAGCAGATTATTTCCACAAAAATACGTCCATAATGTGTCACAGGATATAAAGAGATACGTGAAAAGTCTCGAGTGTAATTTTAAATGGTTATTTACAAAAAACACCTAAAGTGTGAACTCTTTAAAAGCTTATTTTTATGTGTGCTTCTTCTCCAATAATGGCTGTTTGTTCTGTTTTTATATATATTTGGGTTAAAAGACTTCCTATGTACTAATAATAAAATGATAGGAATAAACTACTCTCATGTGGTTATTAACTTTATTATTGTTACTGTTATTTCGGTTTTGTATTTCTTAAATATAAAAAAAGCAGTTTGAGCTCAAAAGAGAGAGCGACACTAGTCATGAAGATAAAGCTGCCAAAAAGTTCTTTACAACTTTGATATTCATGATGTTTACTCACCCTCATAACCCTGATTATCGTGAATCTCACGTGGTGGTCCCGAGTTTTCCTTTCCTTCTAACACAGCCATTAAGCATTGATGAATACATATATATTGTTGTTCTGTTTGCACCATCCACACACGTTCTAATCAATGAAGGAAGTTCACGTAAGATAAAGTTTCAACTCAACTTTGGGAATAAAATGTTTGCTTACTTACCTTTTCTCATACTATATACAATTCCAAAAATATCGACAAAATCAGATACTTGTATCTGTTGCAATATCCTGTCTAGACATATAAATGTACCAGATCTTCCAACACCGGCGCTATAAAATTCACATTACATGATCAGAAAACTTCCTTTAAATATTAAATTTTTAATTTCATACCTGCAATGAACAACGATAGGTCTTGTTTCTGGACCGACTCTCTCCCTGTATGCACGAACGAAACGTGCAAGAGTTTGAGGTGGATTTGGCACACCGAAATCAGGCCAAGTTGAGAAGTGGAAGTGGCGCATGACACGTTGAGTTTCACCCTTTTTTTATTGTTGCGAGATGAGAAACAAATATTGAGAAAATTAATTTACATAAATCAACAGTTGCTGATGATAAAGTTTTAGATGAATGAAAAGAGTTGAACTTTGTTGATGCTGTTCAAGGATATGGCGCAGTTTTTTCAGTTGTTACTTTTAAAGTAGATACTGCCTCAGTGTTGAAGTTTCATAGAAAAGTGGAATCTTAGTTATTGAACAATATGGGTGCGAATCTGCCAGTGAAAGAGGAAGTGCTACATTGACTGACTGGTTGAGTAACATCCCCGGATCTTGTAACTCTTTTTGAGGATGAGGGTTCGATTCCTAACATTAGCTAGCCTATCTTTCAAAGCTACTCTAAGGTAGCACATACCAGCTTCATAAAACTGCGCCAATCCTCTTCCAGCCATCCAGACATCCAAACTGACAACCATTAACTCTCATCCTGTAAAACAGTTTAAAACTTACCCTTTGCAGCATAAATTCTGTTATCAACCAATCGGGATAACGACTTTCATTAAGTAACGTAACTTTAATGTCTCCATAGTAGACTGGCACAGTATCCATCGGCCAATAATGGTCACTGTAATATATATTAATTACATTACATAATCCAAACTGTTAATCGAATTTATTTTTTACCATTTTTCTCTCCCTTTCTCATAACATCTTGTGAGCATAACAATAGCCCTTGAATTACTCTCCCAACACATACGCCAGAAATCATCTCGTGTTGAATGAAGTGGTCCTTGTGTGACGATAAATTCTCTCGGTGAGTTATGTCCTGGCACATAATTTGCATTTATATAATCGGATCCTTCGTCATCATCAACAGGTTGTAGTTTAAATCGTGAATGGTCATATGGAAGAATGTTTGTAAAGCGATTTTTGGGTCGATTACATGGCAAATCAGCAAATGTGCATGGTTGGTCACGTCCAACATGTTTGAGTTCCTCAAATTCCTCACTAAATCTGTGTATGAGAATTGGAATGTGATAAAATTATAAAAATTTTTGGCAAAAATAAAAATAATCCTAAATCAACAAACCTAAAATCGGAATCAGCTGACATAATACGATAATGCTCAGCGAAATTCTTAATTAATACTGGTCGACTTGTTTCCATTGTGCTATCCGGAAGTGACATGTTGTCATTTGCTCGTGCATCCGTTGCTCTCTTACACAAAAAGCGACGACGTCTTAAGAATATTAATGTTATGAAGAGAATACATATGAGAATTAATGGCACAGCAATCGCAACGAAAAGCGATGTATTGTCTTGATCTACGTCGTACGTTGGTTAGGTAGGGGAAAAGAATAGAACAATATGATTAGAATTTTGAATGTAAAATGTATATAGCAAAAATAAGGAACACGACAAACATGCTTCAAAAAATATACAACAACTCTCAACATCCGACTTACTTCGAGGAGCATAAAGAATGACGGTTTTTTCTCCTTCTTTATATTTTTTTTTTGAGTGCAAGCATAAGAGATACGAGAATAATTTAATATCATATGCAGAACATGTGAATGATTTAGTTTAGGGTGGTAGAATAGCTTGGTGGGAATGATTTTGACAATTTGATGAACTTTTATGTCTGTTTCACATCATTCCCATCAATCCAGTTCCCGTCGTTAAGTGTAACTTGATAAATGTTCATTCAACTTACCAGTTTGGATAGGAAAACTATAAGCGGTGTCTGTAAACTTATCAGGTGCAGAAAAAGCTCGAATTTTCACACGATATGTCGTGCCAGATTTCAATGGTCCATTGCAATATCCTTTTCGTTCTTTCTTGTCACAAATTTCAGCTCCAATGGTAAAATCTTCAACATTTACTGAACTATTGTTAAATGGATAATAAGGCTCAACAGCTTGATAAGGTGGCCATATCGAATACGATTGCACATCATCCCAACTAGGCATTTCTAATCCCGATGAATTTTTACTATCATCCTCAGCTACGATAATCGTATACAATCTGACTTGACCATAAGTATCAAGGAAATAATTTTTACGGAATCGAATTTGGATAGAGTTTGAGCTACGATGAACTTCTGTTGGTACAACTTGATTTGCTGGTTTTGGTGGTGCCCAAATTGGCATCTTTTGCTTCCAAACTTTCTCTTGTCCATATCCGACATTAGTCTTGGCTTGAATCTTAAATATATAAATACTTCCTGGCGTTAAGTTTCTGATTGTTCCTCGCTGGTCAACAGGTGAGAAATTTTTGGTATTTGATTGTAATCCATTTTCCATGCCATAAGAAACTGTATATTTCTGAATGACACCATTTTGGTCATGTTCTGGCAGATTCCATTCGAATGTAATTTCACCCGGCTGAATATCGACAGGACTAAATTTATGAACTCTGCCTGGTACTGATTCCAATGTTGTAAAAACAGCTGAAATCGGTGCACTATTTTTCAATATACTCGCTTCCGTACCGGAACGAACAACAACAGTGAATGTGTAATTTCTAAATGGCTTAAGATTATTGATTGTAATAAACGGCTCTGTGGTAAGATTTTGAACGAATCGTTCATCGACAAGATACTGAACTTCAAAGTCATTATACTCTCCTTGTGGCTTATCCCATGTAAGTACAATCTCCGAGTCGGTTATTTTTGTTGCATTTAATATGGTAATTGGTTCCGGATGTAATCGATCATGACGTTGAATTGGATGACTTGATACACCACCACTGACTGTCCACATTTTAATATTATATAAATGTCCTGGAATCAAGCCTGAAAATGTCAATTTACGATTGTCATCATCAGCTGGCTTCTCCTCTTCAGCAATGTTTGGGTCGCCAATCGAGAATCGATAATGATCAAACTTTACTCTTTCGTCACGTGGAGTTGGCGTATAGCTTATTTTTAATGAGTTCATATCTTCTTCTGAGCCAAATATAATGAATATTTCAGATTGAATGATTGGCATCGTACGAACTTTTAAGTTTGTAATCTCACTAATTAAATTATAGCTCGTCACTTGGATACGGAAAGTATATTCGAAGCCAGATTTTAAGTCATTAATAAGCACTTGAACGAGTGGATGTTCCTCTTTAACTTCTCCGTTTTTATCGTTATGGATTATTGGAGCTGCAATAAAGTTATGGTAAAGTTTATATAAGTTTATGTATTAAAGATTGCTGATTTAAGGATTAAGTAATTATTGTAGGTTATGGCGCATTTTTAAGGATTTTTTTTTGTTTGAAATGCCACAAAGTCATAGACCCCCTCCCCCTCTTCCCTAGACGTCATTAATGAATATTCCTTAATAAAAAGATCCAAAAATGCAATCAAATGCATAAATCAGAAATTGATATAAATGAACAAATAATCCAATAATCAGGCATATAACCAGCCAAAGAAAGTAACACATCATCAGTAGTCGAACATAAAAAGTTGAGCTTGCCAAATTGCCGCTCAGGGGATAATAATATGAACATCGTAAAAAAAAAAATTTGTGATAAAGTTTTACTTACAAACATTCTGTTCGGAGACATTTTTGGAATGAATATGATCTGGACTGTCAGTTGGCCACCAGTTGATGATATACATCTCTACTCTACCCTCGGGTCTGGACCATTCTAATGTTATATTACTCGAGTCAACAAGTGTTACGACATTAGCAACAGTATTGGGGCGAACTGTTTGATTAAATTGTTGAGGATTGGGACTTTCGACGCCATAGCTTACTGTATTAACTTGAATTGTATACTTTTCACCCGGAGTCATATCTGTAACATCAGCCTCAGTGGAATTGACGGATGGAAGACGAACCCATTGCTTATCACTTTCAGTACGGTATCGAATTGAATATTCTGTATAAATTGAATTTTCCGGTGGCAACCAATGGACTAAAACTGAGTTGCTTGTAACTTTTTCTATCGTCATGTTTCTCGGTGGATTTGGATCTAAATGGATAAATATAAATTTAAATTGTCGTTAAGGATGCTCAAAGCATAGAGTACTTACAGACTGCTTGAAAATATTCATGTGGCTCACTCTTCAACTCATTGCTAATGGCAAAAACTTTAACAATGTAGCCAGCACCCGGATAGAGATGCTTAAAAACTAATCGTGTGTCTTTTGTCAAAACAGTTTGAGTTTCGCCTGTGTCATTTCGACTATATGCGACTTCATACAGTTCCTGCTTTGAATTCACATCACTCTTCCAACTGATGTTTAAACCCTCGCGAATTGATTTTAGATCCTCAATAATGGGTGCAGATGGTCGTGTTGTGATATAAATTGTTGTCTCATTTGATTCCATTTTCTTTGATATAGCCTGCACGGTTATCGTATAATTTCGTCCTGGCAATAAATTTTCGAGAATATATCGTGTCACGTCTGTATTCATAGAACTTGAATCGCCATTTGAGGAGCCATCAACTTCATGATAACTAATGCGATATTCGTCTTGCGTGCTTTGTGTGTCTGGACTCCACATAATTGTTATAACGCCATTTGAGTCGTCGACAACCTCAAGATTATTGACCGGTAATGGTTTTAATGTCACGTCTGCTGTCGCTGGCCATGATGTGACTTTTCCTGATACTGTTTTCACAACAACCTGATATGTTTTTCCTGGCTCTAAATTATCCTTAAATTCTAATGATACTGGACCGTCGTCGGTTTTTGCAACACCTTGTTGACGTCTTTGTGTTGTGGACAGAGAAACTTGATATTTATCAAATTCACTTATTCCTCTGGGCGGTTCCCATATTGCTTTAAATGAATGTTCTGTTATTGAGTCCCTGTCAAAAGTAACATTTAATGGTCGTAATGGAACTGTCCGATATTGTGCCGTTGTTGGTAGTGATATTTCATCTTCAGACATCGTTTGAACAGATATATTATAAGCACGTCCAGGAATAAGTCCTTTGAAAGCAGCTTGTGCCGGTCCGGGTGGTTCACCTTCTTTCTCAACATAAAGCACACTATCAATCGCATCAGGTGGATCTATTGAAACTTTATAATGCGTATAAATGCCAGCGGGATAAGGAGGTTGCCATAATACCAATAATGTCGTCTCATTACGGAACCAAACGATGAACTTTCCAGGTGTGTTTGGCTCTAAATGGCAGAAAATCATTAAAAAAGTTATAGAAAGAAATGTTAATGTGGATTTCTCATGGTGATAAAATTTAATGACTAATGTACATCTTGCAAATCCGTATGGATGATTGTGAATAAGCTAAATAATATTGTTAAGAACTATGTTAAGCTTGTGTGGATGGGGGACTTTAAAGTGTCTTTTTTTAAGGTTTAGAAATTCTCAAAATTTTGCCAACAGTTTTGTGAGTTAAAATTGAGAATTTCTCCATCCGCACAAGCTTATTTATTATACCATAAAACCATTAATCCATTACCTCTTAAAATTTTTATATCCAACAACTCTTTCTGAACATCTTTGTGCCGAAGACGTTCTGTTTTTGTGATTTTATTTACATGATATATAAATTTATTAGATTTGTATGTTAATTTTTTTTTTATTGAGTTACGTTGCACCATAAAGTGATTAATTGTAAGCATTGAATAATAAAAGAAGAAGAGAAAAAGAAATACATAATTAGGGTAAATCATTTGTTAGAATTCAAACGATTATCTAATGAACAATCATGATCGTCTTTTCACATAATTATTCATTTATGCAATAAATTTTATATTTACACAGATCGTAACTACTTTTGTACTCAAATTAAGTTTAATTTACAATTAAAAAAAAAGTATTACAGCAAAAAATAAAATCAAATTTACAAATAATACATAAGTGTGTTACTGCTCAATTTATTGAAATTGTTTGTAATGCTTGTGCTAAGCTGTTATGCTTGATATAGGTTACTGTAGAAATAAATAAATTTTACTATTTTACATTTTTTCTCTTGTTGATTTGAGAATTGGCGACTATTTGTGAATACATAACGGGATGGATGACAAATGGGACTGTAAAAATATTCAATTGTGTTAAACTAGCATGTTTAAGAGACCTTAATTGATTTTTTATTTGTGGTCTCATAAAGATCTTATTGTGAGCTTCAGGCGAGTAGCCAGAGGGGATTTTAGGCTAAACGTACAAATATCATCATAGTAGTGGTTCGGATCCCACTATAAACTGTAGGTCTAGAATTGAAGATGATATCTGGCGAACTCTCGCTCATTTAACTGTCATTAGCTGTTTAACATTTATAACGTGCACAAGGGCATAGCTAGAAATTGCTCCTAAACGTACGGCATGGATCTTTATGTTCTGAACATATACGGCCTATTTCACTAAAGTGGATTATCCTCGATTTTGGACTATCCACTTCAGTTTTTTGTAAATATCTTAAACTTTATGCGAGGTGTTTTATTTCTAATTTTGGATTATAATAGAGTGAAATTTCTGTATACTTTAAACTTTTACTTTTTGTTAAGAAGTATTAATTATTCAATTTTCTAGCAAAATCTAGTAGATTAACTTCGATTATTGCTATAATTCTCAAACTAATGAAAATATAAAAGTTCTAAGCATATTTTAATTTAAGTAGCAAAGGACTCTAAATCGCTAACACATTAGATCTCTTAATAACCTTAACCTACAAAATCAAGGACGAATTTTACTATTCATTGTTTAACCAGTCATTCCAGCCCTTTGGCTATAAAAAAATAATCATAATGAAAATTGCGTGTAAAATTTAAAAGCCTTTTGTTGATCTTCCGAGAATCTCATTCGAGAGATATCAAAACTCTCAATTTATCTTCATACCTTCTTAAGACCTGACAACCTAAACATTATTTTAAAAAAACGAACATCATGCTTCCAAGAACGAGCTTATTTTTTGAAAATAATTTGAATTCACTAAGGTTACACGTTTTACTGAAGGTAAATTTCATGTCTCACTCAACCTTTCATATCAACAAGCAATTGCTCAGCATCAATAAATTGCAATTTAATAATTGTTTTTTTTTCCAAGAACCAGAAATAACCTTATGACATAATATTATGTATGAATATGTTTTAAAGTGTACCGTAGACCAACTCATAGTGTTCTGTTAAGTCTGTTAAACACAATTCCTCATAATTAGTGGTTATGTTTGAGCATTCTATGTGTTGAAAAAAACAAATAAGATTATTAAATAAAATGAAAAAAACACAAACAGTTAAAAAATAATTTAAAAATTTTGAAAAGTAAAATCATGAAAAACCTTTAAAAACTAAAGACCAAAATAAAATAATTTTTTTTCCTGTTAATTCCACAAAAATATTTTAGCACCAAAGCTCAATGAACCAAAAAAAAATCTCTTCTTCATCTCTAATCACTTACTTGTTGTAAAATTGCGACTCGTGTAAGCAACAGATTCTTTGCCATCAAATATCGTGTACGCTTGAATTTGATATGTGACACCCGGTGTCAGATCCTTTAATTGATGTTGGAATGAATCGTCTGTGACTGATATGGTGCGATTCATAAACGAATTTTGTTGATCCGATAAACTTAATATTCTTAACTTAAATGATGAAAAGTTCCCCTGTAATGGTGGACTCCATGTGATTGTTGCATATTTTCCACTTTTAACTAACACACTAAGGTTCGATGGTGGATCAGGTGCTGTAATTAAAATAATTTTTTTAAGTATTAATTTGAGTGATTAAAATCTGAAGTTCGTGCGAAACTTCTTACGAGTTTCGCTTCATTTGTGAATTACACAACGTGAGTTGCTGGTAGGAAGGTCAATTTAAGTTTGTTGGGATAATGCGCATTTGCTGTGTTTAGAGAATATTTATGGGATTTAAAAAGGTAGCAATAGAGTGACCACAAATCTGACAAACCAGACATAACTTCAATGTACCCAATTTTTGGTATATTAACAGATTTTTTAAAGATTTATCAACAAATTCTAGCCTATTTGTTTCACAACCTTGAATTGAGACATGATGAGCCTTTATTGCCCAAGATCGTTGCTATGTCTTCGAGCAATTTTCATTCCCGTGTGCCAAAAAACTCTTGCTATGTTTGAATTTAAGAATTTGACATTTTGATGCCTGAAATCTTTTGCCTTAAAATGCGCTAATAATGAACTTAGACAATTTACTACCTATTAGACTATCTCAAGGCTTAAGCTATTTTTAAAAATTAATTATTAAATTCTCAACATACCAGTTGTGATTGATACTGTCCACGTCAGCCAATCATGATGTGTGGCATTTGTATAATACAGCCAAAAGCTGTATTTTGTACCAGGAAGACCACCCGAGAATTGCAACTCATCGCCGATGTCACGTGATGAGATTGTTGTATTTGGCGATGGATAGCCATATGGTGGATAATAATCTAGACGATATGACGAATCATCTTGGCCGTTGTTGTTGGGAATCTCTATCACAAGATCGGCACTTAAAGAGGTCTGAAATGAAATTGAGAAAAAAAAATCAATTAAATAATTTTCGTGTAGAAAAGGAAAATTAACAATGCTAATTGATGATGATCCAATGAGTGAGTTGAGCCAATGAGCAATTATGCTTCAATCATTTTTATATTTTACCAAATAATTAATGAGACTTTCAGCCATAAACTTTTTCAATAGGTCAACAATGCTAATTGTATTTCATAATTAATTGTGCGCATTAACAACTTTTTATTTCAGCTCAATTGTGCAATGTCAAAAATAAGTAGAGTAATTGAAAAAAAAAGTTTTTACAGCGGTTTTTAATGTAACAGTCAATCGATTGCCAAAAAATAATAGATTTCACAAAAATAAGACCGCAAGTGAATATTGAAGTTGATTGTTTTTCGAATGAAATGGTGCAATGAGGGAAATGGAGTTAATTTTGGATAGTTTGTGGGGTGCTTAAAAATTTATGGTTTATGTCTAGAGAATAGGATAGATAAGACCATGGACAATTGTTTAATCATTGTCACAATTAGACTCAATCTTAGAAATTATCATCATTTTGTAATAAATCATCAATTTTATAAAGTTTTTATATGTTTTGCTGACAACATTGCATTATAAACACTCGAAATTGTCTATTGCTTTGTAATTCCAAAAATATAAGCACAGCTTTAAAATTCAACATTATCTACATTTTATGTCATCCCCAACAATATTAAAATTTAATGTCTTCAACGTCCCTTTTTCCATAAAAAATAAAGAATTTCAACACAACATTTTCCATATTAAATTTAATAAACTCGAGCCGCACACTAAATAAGCATAAAAAGCAATTAAATCCTCATAACTGCATATCTTCCATACCAAAAAATTCCTTCAATATTGCTGTCATTAAAATATTTTTGTCATACCGGGATATTCAGTGTAAATGCGTTATAATAAATAAACTTCAAGTGCTTATGGGCTTGTTTATGGCAAACAAAATAAAATAAAAAAAAAACAAAAGCGAAAGGAACCACAACATTAAATTTTGATTTTCTTGAAGAGACAATAAAAAATTTCCACAGAAACACACTGTGAATGGTAAAAATGAACATTAAGGTGTGGTGAAATCCATCATTCATGTTTTACTTATCAAGAATATACATTGCCTAATGGGTAATGTTGAAGACAGAGTTGATAACTCGTATATGAACTGGACATGACTTTAAAATAGGAATTATGTAGATGCTGGTTTCGATATATATTCACACATCCTATTTTATATTATATTAAAGTTATTTTGGACAAGTACAAGCTGTCTTAAGACTATACTCCCATCATAGTTGAAATACCTGTCTTTTAAATGCCTGCAACCTTTTCTAAGGTCGGTTTCTTGAATATATTCTAATCATATATCCTACAAGCTATGTAGCAGGATTGTATGTTGTGGCAATATAGTAGCTATTCAGTAGCTTTATAGGAACTATCCCGAATGGCACAAGTCGGTTAATTAATCAGAAATCCGGCACCAAACGGGTGTGACTCTGGCATGTTGCTGGATTTAAAACGAAGCCAGCATCATGCCAGAGTCATACCGACTAGGCACGGGATTTATATTCGATTAACTGACTTGTGCTTTTCGGGTATATAGTAGCTTTATAGAAGCTATAGTAGCTATAAAGGAGCTAAACAGTTGATATATAGGAGCTCTAGAAGCTATACAGTAGCTATACAGTATACTCAGCTACTGCAGTAGCAATATAGTAGTTTTCTAGTAGCTACCTAAGAAGCTGTATAGTAGCTAGTATTTTTAATGCATTCACTAGAAACCCCTTGAAATCGTAGTAAATCATAACTAATTTAACAAAAATAGCCAGTGTCTGTAAAATTGTCTAAGGCACAACAACAACTTAAACTCTCCAGCAAATTTGCTCATGATACCTAAAACTAAGAACCTGATTAACAGCCCTGAATAGAACTTTTTATGAAAAATTGCTCCCCTCATAAATCACTCCGGTTGTTTATACGTGAAACAAGACAAGCGCAGTATATGCACACAATTTCATCATTAAGAGCATCTTCAATCATAATTTTTTTTCCTTTCTTTAGAGTCAAAATCTGCTTCCTTGTCATACTTTTTCTCCTTAGATTTATTGTAACAGGAAGAAAAGAAGGGAAATGAAATAAAAAAAGATAAAAAAGGGGGTGAATGTGCCATATGCGCATTATTAAACATGAATTTTGTATTAAATTGTTAGCTGAAAAAATAGAATGAAATAAACATCTTAAGGATCCATTAATTTATTCCCGCATATTAAACTTTTCTTTCATGTTGTAGGCTTGAAGCGGGAAAATTTGAGGAAAAGTATTTCAATCAATTTTTCTTTTACGAAATTCTATTGAGATGAAAAATTAGATTCTTAAATAGCACAAGATGTTTCCCGACTAGATAATGATGAAGAGCAGATGATAAATAAGTTGGATTGTAAAAAATTAGGAAAAGTGTGTTGTTTAATAGGAAAGTTCATAGAGTATAGGCTTATTGACTTTAACTTGCGTAATAAATATTTGTAAAACAAATCGAATAAGTTGCTAGTTTAATAACCATAAGCAACTTGAACATTTCATAAAAAGTTCTTCTATTGATAGAAAAAACTGAGAAAGACGTTCCAAAAATAAAATTTGATTTGAGTTTTAGCAAAAATGAATAGTTTGTGGAGATAGTTGATTTGGATTTGAACCTTTTAGGAATTACAATTAACAGTTTTTGAAGTAATTTCAATGATTGCATAAAGTGTTTTACAACAAAATTCCAAATTCAATTTACAAATCTTTTCAAATTAATCCCAATCAGATAATAAGGTTTCGACTACTATTCACTTTATAACAATTTGTACAAAATTTACTAGATATTATAAATTCTCTTTAAGCACTTTTTCTATTTTAAAAATATTTACATTGTATCTCCATTCCATATAATTCATACTAATCCAAAACACTGAGTTTACAATAATTTACAGCTACAAATTACTCATAAATATCAAAGATTTTGTGTTTATTGTCTCAAGCTAGTGAATGTTTTTCACATCTTTAATTCATAAATTTTGTTTTTAATTGCTCGACTTAGTACACAAGTTTAGAAGTTCTTCAGTTAAAATTTTAATTGGTTATTATTAATTAAAACTAATGTAAACTTTTAAGATTTATTAAAGGGAAAGTATTTTATGAAGAATTTACAGTCAGTGGCAAATCAAAGTTAATTTAAACAGATTTAAACTTCAAGAACTATCTTCATGATACTCATGATACTTAAAGTACATATTATTCGAGAATTATATGCATCTTTCCAGGCGCGTAGCCAGGAGGGTATTGCCCCCCTCTTAAACGTTTTAGACCATGCTCTCGCTGCGGTTCAAAACGTTTAACGGGGGGACCAGACCTTCCTGACTATGCGCCTGCATCTCTCCATTCATTCCATAAGAGCATCGACTAAACGAGAACAAAAGACATTTTGTTTATTTTTGTTCTGAAAATTTCCTCTTGAAGAAGCTTTTACATTTTAATTACTGATTATTAAAGCTATGTACACAATTGTAAGTTCTTCAATATGCATCAGTTCTTCGAATTTGGATAACAAATTTCCAACAACTTTAAAGAAAAGCCATACAATAAAAACTTTGTATCCAACAACACTTAAAAATTCATAACTAAGCCAACGTTTGCCATTTAATTTGTTAATAATTGGAGAAGTGCGTCAGTGAAACCTTTTTTTTTTCTTAATTTGTGTATTAACTGAACAGAAAATTGGAAGCTTCATAAAATTTTCCAGGTTATTAAATATTTAAACATCCTTCCCAGAAAGATATTTTTGGCAAGCAAATGATTTGCCTTTTGGCTCTTCTACATTCAACAATGAGAATTATTTGATTCTTCATTTCTGGCAAGAGATTTCAATAAGCCAGTTCCATCTTATTCTAGTCAGATGTGTTGCTTGGCAACTCGTTACATAAAATTTGCATTTTTCTTCGGAAATACTGTGAATTTATTCAAAAAAAAAAAACAAGAATTGATTCAACAAAAGAAGAGTTGTGGTAAAATAATTTAATATTAAAGCTTTTTCTTCTTCACATTATTGGCATTGAAGGTTGCTGGATTCATCAAAAAATGCCGAAAAAAATCTTTTTAACCTCTTTTTTTTGTGTGAGTTTATTCAAGTTTGTATGCAAAATTAAATATATTTCATCATATTTTGCAATTAAAGTCCAAAGCGGAGTTACTGACGATGACTTTCGAAGGTCTTTGAGAAATTTTAAATGTCAAGGAAAAGAGTTCATCAGATTTTTAGTTTGATGTCAATCTTAGGATCTAAAACTTATTGTTTGAAAGATTGATTGGTTCCAGGCGCCTAGCCAGGAGGGTCTTTCCTCCTTCCGCCCCCCCCCCCTAAACGTTTTGAACCACAACGAAAGCACGGTTCAAAACGCCTGATTGGTTCAAAATTTGAATTTCATCAATTTCTCCAAGACAAGGCTCAAACTATCATTTTAAAATCCACATCGATGAAAGGTTTAAACATTTCCTGTTGCTATGTTCAGCCCACTTTTCAATAAGCCACTTATTTCTTCAGCAATTGCCTGTAATCGGCTCAGGATATTACTTCATATTCATTAATATTCAAGTCAATTCAAGTGGTTATGGTTTAGGTTTGGTTTCTAATTGACAATATTCAACGTATTTATAGCTTCATTGTGGATTATGTTGAATGAATTGAATTGTCATATTTCTTTGAACTGATTCATTTATCTTGTTAATAGGATGCAGGTTGTTACTTTTTATGAGTAAATGGTGAAACTGCTTTAGTCAGCTGCTTTTTATTGAATTTTATCATGTCATACGTCAATCCAACTAATTTATATAGGAACAATCAATCCAATCTGTCAAACACGATTAATGGAAATCAATTTTCTTAGAAGAAATTTTAAAAAGTGAGAATTTTTCAGTAAAATCGCTAGAAAATTAATTAATTAAAT